TAGCTTTTTTTTTTTTTTCTTCAAGCTTGGATTGTACAGACAAGGTGGGGTACTATTTTGCTTTTTTGGTGTCCTCATGTACATTGGTGTCCTCCATAATTTGCCTTGGTGCTTTCGATCATTTGCCTTGGTGCAATTTCCCATTCCTTGGTGCTTTTTGGTAAAAAAAATTGAGGAGGTGCAGAAATAGAGGGCGCTGTTGGAGCTACCGCGGAACATTTTGGAGAAAAAAAAAGATCGACGCGCATGATTAAAATCGACGCGCGCGCTGACCAGAGACCGACTTATATTTTTTTTGGCCTTACAAAGAAAGAATTAAAAGTAATTTTCACATGGATAAACTAAAATCTAAGATGAAAGTGACTTTTGGAAATAAAAAATAGGACGGAGGGTCCAGAGCTGCCATGAAAATATCACAATTGGCCTAAGAGCATTTATCGCAGTGATATCCCCACTGTCACGTGCAAAGACCACAAAATACAGAAACGAAACGATTGTGGATGTATGCTCCTACCAATGGCATATTCATAGTACTTGACCCCTGAGTGATGACTAGCCAAACCATGTTCCTCAATGTCAGTGAAGGACTCCCATTGTAGGACTAACTCTGAGCTGGAACTCTGTCGAAAATACAAACATGGAAAGGCAAGGTTCAAACTAAAGTTATGACTACCACATCTTCCTGAACAATTTATTTCAAAACAATGGACCCATGCTAAAAAATATCCTGCATTTATACCTAAAACTTTGTCAAATATTTGATGATAATGTCAGTAGCGAGAAAACATTAGTTTTCTAAAAGGTTACCCAGTAAAAAAGTTGGATTTCTCTGACATATACTGGTGGGAAGGTGGATTTCCTGGATTGTGTAAAGAACAAAGAGGAAAAAATGATTACAGAAATTACTTGATAGGTTTGATGCTGGTTCCATCCAATCCATACAGAGCCAGGGGTCGGTGGGGTCGTATCTATGACAACACCATCGCTACAGCTGGACACAGCAGGCAACAGTTCATTCCAAAGCTCATGCTCTAATGTCACTTCATCAGCATGGATGCAAATGCGATAACGCTTGCCATGATGCAGGACTAAACCAGGAACGTTGACAAACTCTTTATCTACAAGATATAAAGGTGTAACAAAACTATCACTTTTCGCATCAACGAAAATTGTCACATTGCACCAAAGATGACTTTTTTATTTGACAATATGTCTTGTGTTTCACTTTTAAAAACAGATGTTTTGTGGTATTTTATTTATTTTTTTCCTGGGGACACTTTTATAAGAATCCACAGCTTCACTGATTTCATTTTCAATCTTTCCTACCTGTATTCCCACAGGTGATGCTCCTCGGGTGATCACAAGGAAACTGCAGACCATCATCCAAGTTTCCAAACGATCCAGTGTCTTCAATGGCTGCCCAGACGTAGTCCCTGTGACGTAATGTGGGCCAGACTGCGGATAATGAGGACGTAGATGAGATGTAGTTCTTGTCTGGTTCCGGCCACATGGCATTCTGCTCCATGCTGACTTCATCTGTTTAAAAGTTACAAAGCAAGAAGTTGTTGTTAGGTAACAAAAGTCTTCAGGTCTTCCTTTTGTTTTGCAATATCCACACTTTGGCCTGGTGTTATTGTTAGGTGCAATCGGTGCTATCACTCTATCACACAGAATTGCATTTGCACAATTGGTCAATCCCGTAGGAAATCGCAGACTTTACTTCTCTTTCTAAAAATAATCCTCCAGAGTCACGAATAAGATACAGTGATCGACCGATGGCACAATATAAATGGCACAGATCCACAGAGTGCCCAAATTGTTATCAAACCTGGATAACTTTTGTGATAAATAACGACAGACAATGCACTGGAAAGAAAAACATATCAATCACATTAAAGCTACAGTCCATCATTAGCACCTATTCAAAAAGTAACGGACGAAATTATTGTTGAAAAGCATACTTAGTTTAAACATAGTTGTGGGACTAAACTCCCTGTGAAATTACTCGTTCTGGCAATCTGTCATTTTGAAGAAAACAATGAAAGAAGGCCAAGACGCATCGTTGGAAATTTCCATAAGTAGTTTGATTTTAATTCAGCGAATTTCCAAGATTGTTTTCAAGTGCACCACATTAGGGAACACTCGGCTCATTTTGCTCCCAATTTCCGGCTCCTAACGTTTTTAATATTTCAGACTTAATTTAAGGACACGAAAATTGTTTACAATGGTTCAACAGCAACTATTATTAGGGTAATAGTACCAGTATTTAACTGAATGAATTTGAAGTTTGTCAACTAAGAGGTTTGGCAACACTGCCTGAGGAAAGTCAAGGGAAACATCAAAGTGCGCCACGTTAATTAGGGGACTCAATTATACTGTGGATTTCATGGATGTTCAAATTTCCTAACCATTTTCAGCAGTAAATTAGTCTACAAATATTGAGTGGCTCAGAGTGGAATGGGAGGAATATTATGGCAAGGTAAAATCTGGACTTTTTTTCACGATGCAAAGTCAAATGAAATGGAAAAGTCCAGATTTTACCCAAGGATAAAACCGGCATGCATTTGCACACAAACACCGCGCCATGGAACAAGGATGATCCTAACTGTTGAATAGTAAATCCCATTTACCATGTGTGAATGGGACTTTTTGAGCCCCAGCGTGAATGGGAGCAGTAATGAATGTCACGTGATGCGAGTTACACCAATCAGAGGACAAGGACCTGTATGTCAGTTATATAATAATATATCAACTGCTGCAATTTATGTACTTTTATAATACTTAAAAAAAACACAATAAAGACAGCTTTGGGTTTTGCCCACCCAATCTCTTCTTTTCAGACCAATAGAAAGCCCTGGGGGAAGTCAACGTGCACTTACGATCAGCATCAATGACAGTATGGGGGACAATCAGCTTCACGTTATCACAGTCCACAATCTCAGTGCTAGCGATGGATGACAGACCAGCCTTATTGTAGCCTCTCACTGATAACTGCAGACAGACATCTAGGTCTAAGGATCCACTGTGAGATGCTGTAAAGCGTGCCTGTTCAGCAAAACATGCAAGACTTAAGGTTGGGCAGTGAAACATGTTGCGATAATGAAGAAAAAAGTTCATTTTATTTTAATAAATACCTAAGACACTTTACCCATTCCTGTTGGTCGAGAACCTGTCACGTGGTCGGTTTTAAATGGTTGATAAAGACATGGCTGGCTGGTCTTAAACACTTTTCTAGTGTCACATGAACTTTTGACTCCTATGAAATCCAGTGCCAGCACGGTTTTATTGGTTTAACCTTCACAATCCTCACGTAGGCATGCGCAATACTACCAGTGAGAGTATTAATAGTCCTAAATTCACACTACACCAGTACATCTGCGTTTTGCACGACATCACACAGTACGCACGACGTACTTGCCAATCTCCATATCAGGATTGTTTACCAGGGGGCTATACCATTGTATAGCTAGAAGGGTGTTTTGTTGAACAAAATCATTGGAAATTTATAATTTTGACCTTTTTTTTTTTTACTCTTGTGGACCGAAAAGTTTTGATTTTTTTTTATCAAAAAGGTTTTTGTGAATGGGAATAAATATGTGCTTGGTCGGTATCAAATGGATGCTGATAATTACCCTTGCTGAACCTGCTGAACCTCCCAATCACACATTAATTCACTTATTAAGCTCATGAACTATTACTTATACTTTGAGTTTAAAGCATTGTCGACCATTGGAAAGTGCTGAACTTGGAACAGACCTTTCAATAATAATTGATTTATAATTCCAGAACAATAATTCCGCGTGAACAAAAATGAACTATCTGGTCATAAAACAGAGGCACTTTAAAGTCACAAAGAACTACACCTAATCACCCATTAACTGGACCCGGCCTTCAGCTGATGAATGTCAACCTAATTCCATTTTGTGACCATGCACCATGCATGGTCTCCTTTAACAGATTCATCTAGGATTGCTGCATCAGTTATAATACAGTATGTCCCAAAAAAGCTGGCTGACCATAATGAAATGCTCAACAAACTCGAACGCTTCAGCAGACGTAACAATGTCAGAGTTATCGGCTTTCCACAAGAAAAAGATGAAGACTGCCTAAGCCTGACCAAGAATCTTCTTCGAGACAAGTTTGATGTGACTGATGCTAAGATCGAACGAGCCCATCGTGATGGCCCCAAGATTCCTGGTAAGCCCCAACATCTTCTCTTCAAATTGAACTGCTACCAGGATAAGCTTGCAATCTTGCGGCACCAGCGACAGGCCCTATCAGAGGAGACCTACTTCTGCGTAGAGGACCTGACTAGACAAGATCTGCAGGAGAAGCGTAGGTGGAAGGCTGAAGTAAGCAAGGCATACCGGGAAGGTAAAAAGTACCGTTTCTATGCTGGTAAATGGCGTGGTCACGGAGGTGCTCCAGCAGTCTTTTCCCGACAATAACTGCCCCTTCTCAGGCCATTGTATGATTAAACACCATGCAATTTTCTCACTGGTCTGCTTTTGAAGATATATACAATGTATGCATGTTACCGCTCCTGTCACACAATGCATGTTTGTATCTTTAATAACACATTTCGCACATAATGTAGTGATTAGAAATTATTTATTTGCTTTGCCCGTTAGGTCAAATGAGGGCGCTGTTTAAGTTAACTGGTCAAACTTCCGCGAATTTGTTGAGGGGTTATGAGGATATAGAAATAGTACGTTCATCAGCCAAGTAAGGGGATATTTTGACGATAATAGATAACTAAGGGGTTCTATCTCTCATGAAGTGCTGTATTCTCAGAAGTAAATTTCTGTTATTGTAAAATATGTGAATGTAGGATAGAGCAGATGATGTTTTTATCGTGTGCGCCTTAATACTAAACAACTGTTTACGTAAGCGGGTTTGGCGGGCACTGTCTCCGAGGTCTGCGTTTCTGACAGCTGCAGAAAGCTTGCTTTAGCAACTATTATCAGACCAATTTAGCCTGACAGCCGATGGCTGGAATGTGTTACTAGACACCAGAGGAAGGAGAGACAGCCCTGGAGCCCGTGCACTGGCTGGTATGGGACAAATTGAATTATTTTCATGTTATTTTGGGGGTTTTACTATCAACGAAAGTGTAACTTCCAAGACGCCGACCGGGTCAGAGGTCACATGTCATACATGTATGTTAATGTGGGAAGGCTGTTGTATTTGCAATGGAGTTCTTTGTATGGGTTGGACTATGTAATTTTCTAGGGTTAATTTATTACTTGTACTCATATGTATTGTGATTAATGGGATACATTCACATGTATGTGAAGTTATGTGAGTTTATATTGATTTATTTTTAATGTATTTGATTACTAGGTTTTTTGTGATGAATGGGAGCAGAAACGACTAATAAATTTGATGTGATTGAATCATCACCCCTGAACCTCGACTCCACACCGAGTTTCACTACAAAATTGGTAACACGGATGGGGTGCTGAGTGCTGACTTAATGACCTGACTGACTGAACGGGTGGACGGTGACCTGAGCCTAGCGTAGGAGAACTGCGGGGAATTACATGCGTTTGCTGGGGAGGCAACGTGGACGGATGCCGTAACAGTACCACTACCAGGGAGTCTGCAAGGGAACTACAGACAGTGGTTGCGGTAGGCAGTTTGGAGTCATACGCATGGACTGTGTCATGTTTACTCGTACAGTTTAAATGTAAATCAGTAGTTACATTGTAGATTAGGTTGCCAGCAGTAAGTGGTCGTGATAACTGAAGAAACAAAAACAAAAGCCAGCCAGTGCATTATCGGTTGAAAATATTGGGTAATCTGCCAGTTAATTGGACCTAGTTAATTTAGCCGTGTTGATTGTAGAAATATTTTAGGCTGACCTTGGATTTTCGCGTGGGGTTTTGTGTACCGCGTTTCTTGTGCTATGGCTGAGGCGGAGGCTGGCCTGGTTGAGCGCCTTGTTGCAGGCCTGACTGAGGCCATCAAGTCAAATCATAAGCCAACCACACAACGAGCGATTAAATTAGCTAGGTTTAATGGCCGTCCAAGTAGGGCAGGGGATCCTACCATTCTTGAGTGGATTGATGAGGTTGATATATATTGTCAACAATGCCATATCCCTGACAAAGAAAAAGCGCAGGTTGTCTATAATCACTTAGGGGGGTTGGCCCGGGATGAGGTTAAGTGTAACCCGTCAGTGAAAGGCGATTATAAGGCCTTGATGAGGCTACTTAACAGACAATTTGGGGCAGATGAAACTGTACAATCGTTGCAAAAGTCACTGTATGAGCGTCATCAACTGGAAGATGAGTCCCTCATGGACTATTCACGGTCTCTTATTAGGCTTTATGATCGTATAATCGAGGCTGGGAGTGAGGGAGAAAAAGAAGGATTGAAGGGACTTAAGGATAAAGTCCTCATTAATCAGTTTGTAGCTGGGGCCAAGAACCAAAGCATGCGCTTAGAGCTACGACGTCTTGAGTTGGCCACACCAGGGCAAAGTTTCAGTGCGCTGCGAGATGCTGCTTTAGACCTATTCAGGGATATCGATAGGCCAAAGGTCAAACGAAGCCAGGTACGCCAAGTGGGCGTGGCACCGTTTGATGATCCTGATGAGGAAAATCAGGGGGGTTTGAATTGTGCTAATGATGTAGTTGAGGTATCAGTGGAGGGCGTGGCCGTTCGTACTCCTAGTGGGGGGCAGTTTCAAAAAGTGATGCAACAGCAAACAGAAATGATGAAGTGCATTAGGGATCAACAGGAACAGATTCTAAAACAACAAGAACAGCTCACAACCTTGATGGAACATGTGATCAAAGGGTCAGATCCAAAACCATTTAATGTTGGTCAAGGGGGACGGCGCGTGGTGTGTTTCAGATGCAAGCGCCCTGGGCATATCAAGGCTAATTGTAGATTCGGTGGTAGTGGCCAAAGTTTGACAGCTAGCAGTAAGTCCTCTGGGGGACAGGGGCAATCGGATGGTGTGGGGTCACCATGTAATAAATCCACGGTTAGTGGTGAGTTAAACACAAGTCCTCCATCACTGTAGGCCAAGTGATGGAGGGAGTCTCTGAAATGGCCTCACCTGGGGACAATGTGCATTGTGAAAGGGGGGTATTGTCTGAGCATTCGGTAAATGAACTTCTTACTCGCCTGGTACATAAAAGCCCTTCAGTTAATGTGACTTTGGCTGGAGTTCCGGTAACTTGTATACTAGATACAGGAGCTGAAACCTCCCTTATGAGCTCATCTTTTTTTAGCAAACATTTGTCGGATAAGATGAGTGGGCCCGAACCAGTGGGCCGGTACCTGCGGGTATATGGGGTAGGTCACTTAGAGCTGCCTGTAGAGGGATATGTGGAGGTCCCAATGGTGGTGCATAACCACACAGTGATGGCACATTTCCTAGTTGTGAGAGACCCATCACAGTGCGGGGTGGGGGGCCGGAAGAGCCTGGTACTAATCGGTTGTAATGTACTAGAACTGTTGAAGGGCATAGCGATTGACTCAAAAGTGCAAGATGCAGAAGCTTTGAGTGTTGCTCTGCAGTGGTACCGTCTCGCAAGAGAACCACATGATCAAGATCGACACAAATTTAATAAGGGATCAAAGAATCCGGTGTCTGTGCGCACTCGTGGGCAACCAATGACTGTCCCTCCCAGGCAGGTGCAAACCATTAAATGCCAGATTAGAGCCCCAGTTGAGGATTTCAGAGACAAAATGATTCTTGTGGATAGTCATTTGACAGAGAGTGGAGAAATAAATGAGGGGAGCGAAGGAACAACAAACGTTTCCCCAACCCTTAGGGTATACAATTCTTGTGGGATTACTGATGGTCGCTTTGTAAATATTCTAGTTGCTAATCTTGGGACCCAGGCATTGGTTATTCCTCCCCACACAAAGTTGGCACAAGCTACTGTGGTATCCTCTGAACAAATTGGGCTGGAGGAAGAGATAAGTGCATTACAGGTATCTGTGCATGAAGTTTTGGTTGAAGACGTAGGTAGTGGCCATGTTGAGGTTGGGCCAACGCCCAAGTCTGATGTGTCAGTGGACACATCAGAACCTTCCTCACAAGAGACTTTTGTGTTTAGGGATGGAACCCAATACCAGTTACCCCCAGGATTAACCTTTGCTTCTTGTAGTTTGGATGAAAATCAGAAAGAGCAGTTGGTGCGGCTAGTGCAGAAACATGACACAAAATTCTCTAAACACCAGTATGATGTAGGCTGTTGTGATACGATACCTCATGTAATTCGTACTGTAGACAACATACCCATTGGCCAGCCTTACCGTAGGATTCCACCCAGGGATTTGCAGGAAGTGAGGGAACTCCTGCAACGACTACTAGATCAGGGCATCATAAAGCGCAGTGCGAGCCCATATGCGAGCCCGATTGTACTTGTTCGAAAAAAAGATGGGAGCCTGCGATTATGCATTGATTACAGGCGCTTAAATGCAAAAACGGTGCGCGATTCGTTCCCCCTCCCCCGCATAGAAGAGTCCCTGGAGGCACTCCAAGGTGCCAAGTATTTCTCCTCCATGGATTTGGCTCATGGCTACCACCAGGTAGTTATGGATTCCAGGTCCGTGGAGAAGACTGCATTCAGGGTGCCTTTCGGACTGTTCGAGTTTACCCGTATGCCATTCGGGCTAGTCAATGCCCCTGGAACGTTCCAACGAGTGATGGAGATGTGTCTTGGGGACATGAACTTGTCAGAGCTCCTCATTTACTTGGATGATATACTTGTGTACTCGTCCACTTTTGAAGAGCACCTTCAAAGGTTGGACAAGGTGTTCACATGCATTGGGGAGTTTGGGTTGAAAATAAAGGGCAAGAAATGTCAGTTTCTCCAGGATCATGTTTCATTTTTGGGCCATGTGGTAAACAGCCAGGGAATATTGGTGGACAATGACAAAATCCAAAAGATTAGGGACTGGCCTGTGCCACAGAATGCAGAGCAGTTGCGATCCTTTTTGGGGCTTGCAGGGTACTATAGGAGATTCGTCCTAAACTTCTCCCGTTTGGCAGCACCGCTACATGCAATAATACCTCCAGTTCAGTGTAAAGGGAAAGTGCGGAAAAGTGTCCGAAAGTTTGAGTGGAGCACTGAAGCACAGGGAGCCTTTGACTCGCTCAAGTTGGCCCTCACTCAGGCCCCAGTGCTTGCATATCCAGATTTCTCACGTGCATTTGTTCTCGAAGTTGATGCTTCTCTACAGGGTTTGGGTGCATGTTTGGCACAAGACGATTTAGAAGGAAAAAGACACCCTGTTGCATATGCCAGCCGTGGTCTGAGGGGGGCGGAGGCTAATTACCCAGACTATAGCTCATTCAAATTAGAATTACTGGCTCTAAAGTGGGCTGTCGTGGATAAGTTTAGGGACCATCTCTTGGGGGTGCCCTTTACCATACTCACAGACAATAATCCACTCGCACATCTGCAAACCGCCAAGTTAGGGGCAAGTGAATTGCGCTGGGTGGCGCAATTAGCTGCATTCAATTTCGATGTGAAGTTTCGCTCGGGTCATAGTAACCGGTGCGCGGACGCGCTTAGTCGCTATCCTAGTCAGAGCACTGCAGAGGTAGAGACAATCATGCAGAGCAAGGTCCACTCTTGTGCAGTTCCAATCCATGTTGCTGCAAATGCAGCCACTGTTACGCAGTCTGGTGGAGACGCTCCTCCAGGAACTGCTGGTCCCCCAGGGTTGTTTCCGTCGTGGTCATCGGAACAAATGGCATCCCTCCAAAGGGATGACCCAGAGCTGGGGTTGGTGTGGGAACTGTGGGACAAAAGGTGGACCCCGGGAGAGGTAATGCCTTGTGAGTTTACTACTTCACCAGAGTTGAAACTGTGGCTTGGACAGTGGCCTAGGTTTGTTGAAAGGAATGGTGTTCTGTGCCGGAGGGTGATGGACCCTGTACTTGGGGAGATTTTCCAAATTCTCCTACCCAAATGTCTGCAGCTTAGGATAATGAAAGGTTGTCATGATGGCTGGGGTCACCAAGGGGTGACCCGTACCTGCTCTTTACTGAGGAGGAGAGTGTACTGGCCTCGAATGACGGCGGATGTCCGTCGTCATGTAAACCGCTGCAAACTGTGTATAATTGCTAAGGCTTCACAGCCACAACCTAGAGTCCCAATGAGGCATCTAATGGCATTCCGACCACTCGAAATATTGGCGGTGGATTTTGTCAAAGTGGACAGGGGCCGTGGGGGTTACGAAGACATCCTCATCATGACGGATGTTTATACCAAGTTTTCACAGGCTGCACCCTGTAGGGACCAGTTGGCTGTTACTGTAGCGAAAGTCCTTAGGGACCAGTGGTTCACCAAATTTGGGATACCCAGTAGACTTCACAGCGATCAGGGACGCAATTTTGAGGGAGAAATCGTGAGGGAATTATGTTCATTGTACGGGATTAGAAAATCCCGTACCACACCCTATCATCCGGAGGGAAACGCGCAAGCAGAGCGTTTTAATCGTACACTGTTCGGATTGATTAAATCCCTCGATGAGCAAGACAGGCACAAATGGCCTGACCTTGTTTCCCATTTAGTTTTTGTATATAATGCTACCCCCCATACAGCAACTGGCATTGAACCGTATACCCTGATGTTCGGAAGAGAACCACTGATCCCTCTGGATCAAATGTTGGGCAGAACTGACTCAGATTGGGGACAAGAATTTGTTAGGGAGCAATCTCAGATGTTGAACCGTGCCTTGGAAATTGTGAGGGATAAAGTTGCTAAGAGGGCAAGTCAAAACAAGGCAGCATACGATGCTAGGGGGCGCACAGCAGTGAAACCAGTTGTACCAGGCTCGCAGGTACTCATGCGCAGATGTGCATTTGGGGGCCGTCACAAAATTCAAAATAAATACGAGAGCGATCCGTATATCGTGGTATGGGTAAATCAGCAAGGGGATGTGTGTTCCATTCGACCGGCTAAGGGAGGCGAACAGAAGACAGTAAATAGGAAATATTTACTACTAGACCCTTTAGCAGAACCGGAGTCTGACAGTGGGGAAGAGTCCGAGGAGGATTCATTATGTGATGTTGTCGTGTCTGACACGGGTTGCTTGCCAGGCCGGCCTCCAGCTAATGGCTCTAGGGAAGTAGGGAGTGGAAAAGTAGGGGAGCCAGCTCAAGTCACTGGCTCAAGCTCTTCTGTTCCACTAAGAAGATCCGAAAGGGTGACAAAGGGGGTACACCGAAACCCATGTCGACTTCCCCGGTCAGCATTGCTTTGAATTTGATAGAATCTTGTGTTTACTGTGAGGTGACGACATCAGTTGGTGGATGGGTGTCGCTGGGGGTCTGGAACGTTTTGGGAGAAGGCTGGGGTATCCGGTTCTCTTAAGACCGACCAGATCCAGCGCTGCTCATTCGTACGATGTCGTCGCAGCTTAATTTTCACAATGTCAGATGACAGAGTCAAGTTAGGTAACTGGTATATTTCCTATATGTAGGGGCCCAGGTTGGCTCTCCTTTTTATTCATGTTGTATTTACTATGAGTTTTGTGCTATTTGGACATAGTTTTGTTAAACGCCTTAATAAAAGGAGAGGATCTTTTTATGTAGCTTTGTCAGGTGGAACGTACGAGATTAAGTGTCTGGGGGAAGGGGGTCTCACTATAGACCGAATAGAGAAAAACCCTCGACGGTATTTGAGACCACTTGGTATGATATCACCAAAGGTGCTGGTCCTCGACTTAGGAACTAATGATCTCTGTACAAGAGAAAATCAACCTGGGATGGTGCATGCCTCCTTATGCAATCTTATTAACGAATTTCCTAGGTGGAATATCAAACCTGAGGCTATTGTATTTTTGCCTGTGCTGGCCCGCACTGGGGCCATGCGAAGCTCACAAGTCTCACTTGATGAATTTAATGCAAGGGTTGAAGCATTTAACAGGTTGTTGGAGGGTTCCACATTTGTAGAAGATAGATGGTGGGTGTGGAAACACCGGGCCTTAAAGAACCCTGAGTACATCCTGGATGGTGTGCATCTGAACCCTGCAGGCATGGCTCACTATGAGAGAACCCTCAGACAGTTGATCAAGTTTTTTGAATTCAGGATTCTGTGATTATAGTAACTTGTTTAACGTTGCTAGGAGTGACGATGTGTTTGTCCTAACTCAAAGTTTGAGTATTGCTATAAAAGTTCAGTTAAGATTTTGGAAAGAAGGGTATATTTATATTGTATATGAGACCCGTCACGACGGAGGGCCGTTTAAGTTATACCCTGCCAAAATTAACATTTTTGTGCTTTAATGAAAGAAAATGTAATGAGCGTTAAAATGATGGGTCAGACAGCTCAACAGATAGTATGGTTTTAGAGTTATAACAATGTATGTAAACAGAGCCAGATTGGTCGCATTATGTTTTCTTGTTAACTGATCCCATTTTATTGCTGTTTTTAAAAAAGTGTTTTCCTAAATTGATCTCCAGGAGTAGATCACCAAAAGAAGGGGAGAGATGTAGTGATTAGAAATTATTTATTTGCTTTGCCCGTTAGGTCAAATGAGGGCGCTGTTTAAGTTAACTGGTCAAACTTCCGCGAATTTGTTGAGGGGTTATGAGGATATAGAAATAGTACGTTCATCAGCCAAGTAAGGGGATATTTTGACGATAATAGATAACTAAGGGGTTCTATCTCTCATGAAGTGCTGTATTCTCAGAAGTAAATTTCTGTTATTGTAAAATATGTGAATGTAGGATAGAGCAGATGATGTTTTTATCGTAAACAACTGTTTACGTAAGCGGGTTTGGCGGGCACTGTCTCCGAGGTCTGCGTTTCTGACAGCTGCAGAAAGCTTGCTTTAGCAACTATTATCAGACCAATTTAGCCTGACAGCCGATGGCTGGAATGTATTACTAGACACCAGAGGAAGGAGAGACAGCCCTGGAGCCCGTGCACTGGCTGGTATGGGACAAATTGAATTATTTTCATGTTATTTTGGGGGTTTTACTATCAACGAAAGTGTAACTTCCAAGACGCCGACCGGGTCAGAGGTCACATGTCATACATGTATGTTAATGTGGGAAGGCTGTTGTATTTGCAATGGAGTTCTTTGTATGGGTTGGACTATGTAATTTTCTAGGGTTAATTTATTACTTGTACTCATATGTATTGTGATTAATGGGATACATTCACATGTATGTGAAGTTATGTGAGTTTATATTGATTTATTTTTAATGTATTTGATTACTAGGTTTTTTGTGATGAATGGGAGCAGAAACGACTAATAAATTTGATGTGATTGAATCATCACCCCTGAACCTCGACTCCACACCGAGTTTCACTACAATAATTTTGGTTATTTGTTTTCCATGCAGAGTATAGTCGCTTACGTTTTCATTGATCTGTCTATATTTTCATCAGTCTTTTTTTTTTTTTAATTATGTCCTTTTTGCTTGTGACTCATCGGTAATTTGATTTGGTGTTTGATTGTTGTTGTTTTTTTTTACCTTGAGGCCTGTGCAGCTGTTTCACACTTACCTGTTCCATTTATCCTGTGGCCTTCGAGTTTACTTTCGTTTACCTTAAGGTTGATTTTAAATATGCTGTTTACTTTTGAGCTTATTGTTTTCGTTGTTTCGTTCATGGCTGGCTTAATTTGTTTCTTTTTCTTTTTGTTCACTTTTACTTAGTTTGGCGCATACTGAGTTTTTTTTTCCAGCTTATGAGCTTGATTCATTTGCCCACGTTTCCTTATACTACAAAGTGCTTTTCTTTTGTGTTTTCTTGCTATTGCAATCCCTTGTACATTAATGTAATTGTTTCTGTTGTCTATGTGATTCGTTTGTGTATTTTGCTTGAATGTTTAACCAAAATAGTGCTGATGATTTGATTAATGTTAATGAAGATGGTATTTTGTCAGATAATGACAATTGCTCGTATTATGATACTCATGGTTTTAATCAGTTAAGAAACACACCGGGTGATTTTTCTATTTTCTACTTAAACACCAGGAGTCTCTGTAAACATTTTTTTGATGTCCAGGATTACCTTTGCTCCCTTACCTCTTCTTTCTCTGTATATGGCTTCACTGAAACATGGTTTAAAGAAACTCCTCCTGCCTATATTCACATGAACAACTTCCATCTTGTTCACTCCTCACGGTGTAACCGAGTAGGGGGAGGAGTTGCCCTTTTTGTCAGTGACTGCCTGAACTTCATCAAAAGAGACGATCTCATGTCCTCTTGTGAGGACTTTGAATGTGTGTTTATTGAGATCCAGCGTGATGGTGCTTGTAATCTTGTCATTGGTAATGTTTACAGAGCTCCTGGCACATCCATAGACAATTTTTTCCATTCATTTGATATTTGCCTCAACAAGATCACGAATGAAAAGAAGCTGTGTTATATAATGGGTGACTTCAATCTTGACTTGACGAATTATTCCACTCATCAGCCTACAGAGGATTTTGTGAATACTCTTTATGCCTACGGTCTTCGTCCATTGATAGATAAACCTACTCGTATCACACCCCACAGCTCCACTCTTATCTACAATTTCCTTACTAACAATAACACCAATATTTCTGCCTCAGGTATACTTTATGCTGATTTCTCTGATCACCTTCCCCTTTTCCAGATTACTGCTGACTGTTTCCAAGGCCATCATCCTTCCCCAAGTACTTACATCGCAAGGGACATCTGTAGCGCTACACTCTCAGCTTTTAAAGCTGACATTGAGCACACAGACTGGAGTGAAGTCTACGATTGCACCAGTGCGGAGACCGCATATGACGCCTTTCTCAATCGATTTACTGTTCTATACAATCACCATTTCCCACTTGTAACAAAAGTTGTTGGTAAAAGCAAGAAGAATCAGCCATGGATGTCCCGGGGAATACTGAAGTCCTGTAAATTTAAACACAAGCTGTATAAACGCTTCTTGCGTAATCCTACAATGGCAAACGAACAGAGATACAAAAGGTTCCGTAATCGTCTCACTCAAGTTATTAGAATGGCAAAGAAAAACCACTACGCCAGCAGGTTCGCCAATGCAAAGAAGGATGTCAAAAGCACATGGCGTGAGATCAATAACATCTTGGGCAAGAAAAAGAAGGATGATCTTCCTGATAATTTCCTCCATGCTAATCAGTCTATTTCTAATCCTTCTACTATTGCTGACACCTTCAATTCTTACTTTTCTTGTATCGGATCAACGCTGGCTAGCAGGATTCCTTCCACCGATGCTCACTTCACAAATTATCTGCAGGATAGAAATACCTCTTCTTTATTTCTTTCTCCCACCGATCCTTCTGAAATTTCACAAGTTGTTCATGAACTTAAAAATGCCAGTTGTGGGTTTGATGATATCCATTCATCAGTAGTTAAATCATGCATTCCCTTCATCTCTCAGCCTCTTGCGCACATTTTCAACCTGTCTATCCTTACTGGTGTCGTTCCTTCTAATCTAAAGATAGCGAAGGTAACTCCTGTTTTTAAAACTGGTGACCGCCGTGACTTTTCCAATTATCGGCCTATCTCCGTCCTTCCATGCTTCTCAAAAATACTTGAAAAGCTGATCTATAAGCGACTTTCGAACTTTCTCTCCAAACACCAGCTTCTTTATGATCATCAATTCGGCTTTCGGAATAAGTATTCCACTGATATGGCGCTTATCCATCTTGTTGATCACCTCTCTAGCTCTCTCTCTGATAAACTACACTCTGTTGGTTTATTAATTGATCTTTCTAAGGCTTTCGATACGATTGACCATTCCATTCTCCTATCAAAGCTTGAGTATTACGGAGTTAGAGGCGTCGCTCTTCAGTGGTTTGTTGATTGCCTATCAAATAGGAGACAGTATACTACAGTAAAAAACTGCGATTCTTCTCCCATGACAATCCACTATGGCGTGCCGCAAGGCTCTATCCTTGGCCCTTTGCTGTTTCTTCTATACGTTAATGATCTTCACTGTAGTTCTCCTCTCTTGTCTTTTATCCTTTTTGCCGATGACACTACTATTCTCTTCTCACATTCAAACCTTGCTTCTCTGATCAACATCTTGAATTTTGAGCTTGTTAAAATTTCATCGTGGTTCCAAGCGAACAAGCTCTCCCTTAATTCCTCTAAGACTAAGTATATGATCTTCAGTAGGTCATCCAACTCCAGTCAACATGAAGCTGTGAAGATAGATGGTACTGCCATCTGTAAAGTTCATTCCACGAAATTCCTTGGTGTCATTATCGATGATAAACTCTCCTGGTCTCATCACATAGCCTCCGTCTCTAATGTAATAAGCCGCAACACAGGTGTACTCTCCAAGCTCCGCTCATTTTTGCCTTCCACCACTTTATTCACGCTATATAACACACTGATCCTTCCCTATCTGAACTACTGTAACATCGTTTGGGCACGCACATCAACAAATAAACTCCATTCCTTAATCAAAGTCCAGAAAAGAGCAATTTGCATATGCACCCTATCTCTCCCCCGTGACCACACCGCACCTTTGTTCGCCAAATTACGCACACTAACACTCATCGATATTAATAAACTTCAAACAGGTATCCTAATGTATAAATTTACCAATAATCTCTTGCCCTTCACATTCTCATCGTACTTTACCTCTGTTAATAATATCCACCAATATCACACCAGATCTCACAATAACCTGTATGTACCATTCACTCGCACTTCCTACTCGATGAATACCCTACGCTTCTATGGACCACGTCTCTGGAATGGACTTGACCCACTTATCAAATCTCAATCCTCTGTAGGCAGATTTAAAAATCATTATAAGACGCATCTGCTCGCCCATTATATTACATAGCTTCTCCGCTTCTTTGTTTCTCTCAGTTTAATTTGCCTGCTTTTTACCTCTTGCTTTGCTTTTTATTTATCTTGTCATCTCTGCCGCTGCTCCTCTATTGTTCTATACGCTTCCGTTATTATTATTGCACTTTTGTAATGTTTGTCACATTTGTTTGTCCTTTTTTCTAATTGTTTGTTTGTGCTTCTTTTTTTTATTCTAAACGTTCGTCTATCGTGTGAGTTGTTATGTATGTGTACAGGCATGTTATATGTTATAAGCTTCGGCTTTTTTTAGCATGCCTCCATCAGTATAATTTTTCATTATTTTGTATTATAATCAAATGTTGTGAAAAGATGGAAATAAATGTTCTTGAAATTGAAATTCTTGAAATTGAAAAGGTGTCCGTCTGACTATTTTTGAAAAAAAACCTACAAAACCATGAGGTCAATTTTGAATTGTTTTGGTTGTACAGATACTTGGCCTCAACCCCTATGAGTTTCATTTATTTTCAGTCATGCATCACTGCACAATTGTCAAGTGATCACAACAACATTTTGGGACACTGTGACCAGGTTTCTTTCCTTATTCAATTTCAGTAGTGTGTTTAGTAAACTGTGTAAAATCCTTCATGCTGTGAGAAGGGCTGCAGTGCAGTTGGGATTGGAATAATTTGCCTGGCTACCAGTCATGACGGCAAGACCTCAGTTTAATGCTCAAGGGCAAATGATTCCAATCCCATACCACACCAGCCTATTCTTCTCAACATGCAGGATTTTACACAGCTTACATAAAACAGCACTGTAATTGACTAAGATATGGAACTTAGTCACAGTGAGCATAAATGTTGTTTTGCTCAATGGACAATTGTGCAGTGATGCCTGACTGAAATTAAATGAAACTCATAGGGGTTGAGGCCAAGTCTTAGGAGTATTTGCACAGCCAAACATTTTCAAAATTGACCTCATGGTTTTGTAGTTATTTTAAAAACAGTCAGACGGACACTTTTTAGGGGACATACTGTAGATATTTCCTTCTGCATGTTCAGTAAATCTCTGCCACTCCCTTCTGCTACAAGAACTTACCACATCCCCAGTAACCACCAAATCTTGGATTCTTGTCCACTGACTCAGCAAGGCTCCATCGCTACCATCCTCAGCAATGCTCCACTCATAGAAATCCATCAGTTCCCGCGGGTCGTCGTGACGGACGTAACCGTGGGCAAAAGGCTGGAAGACCACACGGATCTCCGTCCCGCCTGGCGTAGCTTCAACGTTGCTGACTGTGACCTGACCGACCTCAGGAGGTTGGGATAATACCCAGAATCCATCAGTGACGACGGGTTTGAAGCAAACGTTAACGTGGCAAAACTGAACCTGCCAAATAAATTACCAGAATAAAACCAAATGTATTACAATATTTATATTTTTTTCCAACTAAATTTCACACTTCACCTAAATAAAGTTTGTCTTGCCCAACCATATTGTGAAATTTTAAACAACCCTACATATTGCAATGATGTTGCACCAAGGGGGCGTAATATCCCCTATTTTTTTGCAAAGGGGGTGGTGGGCCATTGGATCATCGCCCCATATCTTAGTGGTGAAACCGGCACCCCCTAGTGTCATGTGGTGTCTAGCGCCACCCCCCCCCCTTCTTCAAATTTCCACGGCTGGGCAATTGCAGATTTATACTCATCGTATACTCATCTCCCGTCCCCCTATCACCGACACGGATTCAAGCCAGTGTGTTTCATCATGACAATTTTTAATTCTTACCTTTGATCTGTAATGACCTCCACCATGCAACCCAACCCCAGCTCCAACATGTTGGAATGACATGCCAAGATCTTGATCGTCAATCACTGGGATCCATTCCATCATAGTGTTCTCATCATCTGTGGGAAATGAAATATACTTCATTCTGAAAAGGTAACATAACTTACAAAATCAGTGACTATACGTGAAGACACCAAGTAAAAACAGTAGCTTGTAGTGGTTCCTTTGCCCAAATAATAACTAGATAAAAATTCTCGATTTTTTTTTACAATTTGATTCTTTTAAAACATTACAAACTAAATTACCAATACTATCAATTCAAGCAGTAAGGATTACACGTCTGTAGTAAAACTCAGAGGCATATGATTTCAGGTTTACCAAGGTATATTTCGATTTCTTGTTCAACTGCCCAGAAGACACCAGTCACAAAGGGTTGCAGCACCTCAGGGATTGTCCAACGAGCTGAGATGTCTGAGGTAGAAGACTGGTAGGTGATGTCATCCTCACAGGGTTGATGAGCAGCAGATGAGTGATGGGATAATCCTGGTGGCGTAGACGCTGCAAGGGACGTTGAGGGATGGTCTGCGCTCAGATAAGTAGGGTAAAACTGGTAATTAAGTGATGTCATCCTGACAGGGTGATCAGCAACAGATGAGTAATGAAATATGCTGACGGCACAGACACTACAAGAAGGAGGCAAGAAACTGTGAGTAAAGAGGGATGTTGGAGGATGGTATAATGAGCTGAGATGAGTGAGGTAAGACTGGCAAGTGACGTCATCCTGACAGGATGGCTCAGCAACAGATAAGTAATGAGGTAATCCTGATGGCACAGACACTGCAAGAAGGAGGCCAGAAACTGTGAGTAAAGAGGGATGTGGAGGGATGGTCTAATCCCCCGAGATAAATGGGGTAAGACTGGTAGGTAATGTCATCCTGACAGGATTGATGAGCAACAGATAATGGGATAATCCTGATGGCACAGACACTGCAAGAAGGAGGCCAAAAAACTGTGAGTAAAGAGGGATGTTGAGGGATGATCTAACGAGCTGTGATAAGTGACGTAGAAGACTAGTGGGTGATGTCATTGTCATCCTGACAGAATGGATCAGCAACAGATGAGTGATGGGATTATCGTGGTTGCACAGACACTTCAAGAAGGAGGCAAGAAACCGTGAGTAAAGAGAGATGTTGAGGTATGGTATAATGAGCTGAGATGAGTGAGGTAAGAATGGCAAGTGACGTCATCCTGACAGGATGGCTCAGCAACAGATGAGTGATGGGACAATCCTGATGGCACAGACACTGCAAGAAGGAGGCAAGAATCTGTGAGTAAAAAGGGATGTTGAGGGATGCATGGTCAGCTCAGATGAGTGACGTAGAAGATTTGTAGGTGCTGTCATTCTGACAGAATGGATCAGCAACTGATGAGTGATGGCATAATCCTGGTGGCACAGACACTGCAAGAAAGAGGCAAGAATCTGTGAAAGAGGGATGTTGAGTGATAATCTAACGAGCTGAGATAAGTGACATAGAAGACTAGTAGGCCTAGGTGATGTTATCGTCATCCTGACAGAATCAATCAGCAACAGATGAGTGATGGGATAATCTTGGTGGCACATACACTGCAAGGAGGCAAGAAACCGTGAGTAAAGAGAGATGTTGAGAAATGGTCTAATGAGCTGAGATGTCTGAGGAAGAAAACTGGTAGGTGATGTCATCCTGACAGGGTTGAACAGCAACAGATGAGTGATAGATAATCCTTGAGGCAAAGACACTGGAAGAAGGAGGCAAGACACTGTCTACAGAGGGATTTATCACATTTAGATGGTTAATTAACATCAGGGACGTTTAGCAATGGGAAAGGATCAGAGAAAGATGTCCTATCAAGATAAAAGGCCTGAGTAAATATTAGCCAATGCAAGATACTTGATTCCCTTCAGCGAGAATGTCACACCACAGAAATATAAGCCATGGGTCTTACTTTCATCTTGATCGCAGCCCAGTCCATCTTTGATCCCAGCTTCCTCCAGAACCTGACCCTCCTGAATGACTTTGACACCGTCTGAGGTAACATTGACACTACCAGCTTCAGAGTTAGCACGGATGGTCACATAATAGGTCTAGCAGTAATACAAAACAAATTTCCTCAATTAATACGGAAAACAGAAACAAACACAAAAGGCATAAGGAGATGTCAGTGGCTCTTGCGAAGGTAAATAAACAGAGAGCCCGAAATTTCAAGCTCCATTGTTTCATGAAAATACAATTTAACATTTTCCACTATTTTGAATTCATGTCCCAATTACCATAAGTGGAATGAGATCTAGTCCATCCAGTTGATAGAAGGTTGCATTGCCAACATCAATGAAACCAACGCTGACATCAGAAGCACCTCCTTCTGATCCGATGGCAATCTCATAGTTGATATCAAGATGAGGATGCTCAAAACCAAACCAACGAGCTGAGATGCTTGCGGTGCTCATCTGAACATCAATGTCTTTGGGCACCTGTTAGGGAGACATTTGTGTAACTGAGACAATAGGCTGGCAGTCAGTAACAGGAAATTAATTTAAAATTCTTAACTTTTTTTCTTTTCAGGTTGCTATTCATCAATGTGAAATCATTTCACTTGATGCTTTAACTCCATTAATTGGTTTTCAACAACTATTCATTGGAAATTAATTTTAAATTCCTAACATTTTTCTTCTCAGTTTGCTATTCATCAATACGAAATCATTTCATTTGATGCCTTAACTCCACTAACTGGTTTTCAGCAATTATTACAAAAACACACCAGACATATTTTTCAATGGACCCCACCATTTTTCTTACAAAAACCATTTTGGCTTATTTGTTGTTGCTCAACTAATGCTTAATAATTTTCAAAGTACGGAGGAACATATACTTTTTATATCCATTCTTTGAAGATATGATCCAATTACTCAACATAAAATTATTGAAGTGGCTGTAAGCATTCTTTCAGCATTTACTAATGGCAGTTACAAAAGATTTCAAACTAATGGAACAAAAAAGTGAAAACAATATTTACTGTGAATTTGTCATAATTACCCCCAAATCCACATGCACCTTTTCGCCAGGGGGTGCAACATCCAATACAACACCCAGAGATGGTAACTGCACGATGTGTCTATAAACGGATGAGGTCCCCACTGTAGCGAACCCAGCACCATTCTGAGCTCTGACTGACACGTAGTAGTCACGATCTCCATGGAGATGCCAGTCTAGGTCAGCCAATGAGAATGCAGCACATGATGTTTGGGACAAACAAGGACCAATTCTGTAGGCTTTCTCCTTCTGGAAATCAAGAGTTTTAGTGCCACCTGGGCTACCCCCTAGAAGAAAAAACAAAACAAAAAGAATTTATCAAAGAATGTTTTTGAAAAATTCTGAACACAATTCTTTTTTTAATGAAAATGAATAAAACTGCAGTAAACTGCTTAACATGCTTAATGAAAGGCAAAATTACAGTACAGAAAAACCTTCCGTTAATAGGCAATATTCTGTTAAGGTGGTGACCACTGGTCGGCAAGCATAATAGTGTAATGCCATAGAGTGTGCAATGTTCAGGTGTCATCAGCAATGCGTTCGAATGTCCCTTCCAATGATCTCCCACATGTCAATTTTGTTAACCTATACACAAAATATAACCTGGGTACCAGACAAAACCGACCAATACGGGCGATTCCCAATAGTACGCCTCCAAGAGTTTGCAACGCGTTGGCCAATCACAATGCGCAAAATCTGTCGACCCAACGCCCGTTTGGAAAAGGTCGACTGATTTCGCGCATTGTGATTGGCCAACGCGCTGCAAACTCTTGGAGGCGCACTATATGGAATCGCCCGTATTGACAAATAGTCGCTGCCCGGAGGTGGCGTTTTGGTTTAGCCTGGCAACTTGGAGGTCAACGATTGGAGGTCAACTATTCCATCTTACACAAATCAGATGACACGACGAAAAAGATTTTGTGCACTCAAGGAGTTGCACTATAAAAAAGAAACGTTTTTGGGTTCAGCTTGATCAAATTGTCATTTTGAGAGGATCTTTTGTTCCATAAAGGACTATAGGCTGTGATAGGTGAGTTGTTGCTTGTAATTTTAACGGAAATGGAAAATATCAGCACAAAAAAACATGACAATAATCACATAATCTGCATTCTAACTCATGTAAGTATGGTTATTATTTCCAACTTTCCTGGCAAATCTTCCCATACGTCATGAGCCTAGAAAGCTGGAAATTTCAAGGTAGGGCTGAGTCAATTCCAATCACCGGCGGCGGAACCGGGGGGCAGAGGGGGCAGTTGCCCCCCCCCCCCCCCACTTTTTAATAGGTAGCTATTTTGCCCCCCCACTTTTTACCAAGGAGCGATTTTAAAAAACGAGGTTAATTAAAATGATACAGGAGGTAAAAAAGATTTTTGAACACATCCCTTATGAAAATTCCCCCCAGTCACCACAGTGTGGAACTTCTGTGTGAACACAGTGTGTTCACATAGTGTCCATACGGTGTATACACTGTATGGTCACACTGTGATCACACCGTGTTCTCTGTGTGTGACACTGTGAATTTGGAACAAATTCATAGTGTCATGACTGTGTGAACACAGTGTGTTCACATAGTGTACATATGGTGTATACCACTCAGTGGTCACACTGTGATCACACTGTGTTCTCTGTGTGCGACACTGTGAATTTGGAACAAATTCATAGTGTCATGACAGTGTGAACACAGAGTTTTCACAGTGTGCGCATATAGAGATCACAGTGTTCACAATGTGTGCACACTATGTGAACATATAGAGTTCATAGTGTTCACACTGTGTGCACACTATGTGAACATATAGAGATCACAGTGTCCACACTGTGTGACAATTTAGAGATCACAGTGCCTGCACAGTGTGACCATATAGTGATCACAGCGTCCGCACAGTGTGACCATATAGAGATCATAGTGTACACACAGTGTGACCATATAGTGATCACAGTGTCTGCACAGTGTGACCATATAGTGATCACAGTGTCCACACAGAGTGACCATATAGTGATCACAGTGTCCGCACAGTGTGACCATATAGAGATCACAGTGTCCACACAGAGTGACCATATAGTGATCACAGTGTCTGCACAGTGTGACCATATAGAGATCATAGTGTACACACAGTGTGACCATATAGTGATCACAGTGTCTGCACAGTGTGACCATATAGTGTTCACAGTGTCCACACAGTGTGACCATATAGTGATCACAGTGTCCACACAGTGTGACCATATAGTGATCACAGTGTCCGCACAGTGTGACCATATAGTAATCATAGTGTCCGCACAGGGTGACCATGTAGTGATCACAGTGTCCACACAGTGCGACCATATAGTGATCACAGTGTGCGCACAGTGTGACCATATAGTGATCACAGTGTCCACACAGTGTGACCATATAGTAATAATAGTGTCCGCACAGTGTGACCATATAGAGATCACAGTGTCCACACAGTGTGACCATAGAGTGATCACAGTGTGCGCACAGTGTGACCATATAGTGATCACAGTGTCCACACAGTGTGACCATATAGAGATCACAGTGTCCACACAGTGTGACCACATAGAGATCACAGTGTCCACACAGTGTGACCATATAGTGATCACAGTGTGCGCACAGTGTGACCATATAGTGATCACAGTGTCCGCACAGGGTGACCATAATAGAGATCACAATTAAATACAGTTCACAACAGAAAGTTTCCATTATGCATGTTTCAAAGAAATATTTATTGCGTAAAATTTTGAACTTGGTTTAAATACATGTATAAATAATTGTAACGAACCATAAGGTACAGTGAATACTAACAGCACACGATAGACTATAAACCACAGTTTGTTGTACCCAGCACAAAGACTCTGCAATAAAATGACTGAACCGTGCGAATATCCGAACTGTTTCTGGGTTTTTCCCCCAATTATTTTGGCTTTGTACAATAACTGACCTGAAAATCGCAAATGCAAAACCAACACCGACCCTACTGAAATGAACAACCTGACCCGACCCAAACTTGTTTTGGGGTTGCATTTGCAAAACATTAGTTTCGTTGCCATTAGTCATCAGTTTGGTGGCTGAGCGAGAATTAGGCACTCATGCATTAACAAACTTTGACTAAATCAAGATCAAGAAAATGTGTTCTCCCCTAAATAAAGCATTCACTGAACTAAAACTTTATGAGATTGATTTTCAGTTCCAATCTTTAGATTCGTAAGCACTTCTGTTGCTTCAAATGAAACATTTCAAACATGTAAAGGAAAATGGTCCATTCTACCTTAAAGACAGTAGTTGAGTTTCCATAACTTGAGAACTTTTCCCTGTTGAACACTTATGGAAAAATAACAGTCACCCTAGAAGAGAACATTGATCAATTATTCAGATACGTGTATTAAAATATTTGATACTGTTGTATTTTAAGTAATGACCGTACAATGGTAAGACTTAAGATGAAGGTGAATGGGTCCCAGGCATGTCCCTCCATCACGTCTCCTTTCTGGCGCAAACTTGGCAGGAGATGCAACAATCAGCAACCAGCAACATCCATCACCTTGCCATTCTGAAGTTTCTTGGATACTCGCTATAAAAGACAAATCAAACATACTTATAATTTATTTTGTATTAATTCAAAACAATCCCCAGTCGGGGGCCTGGAAGAAGGTCGTAAGGGCAAGAAATGGGTCAAAGGTCAAATTCAGATGTTTCGGATAATCAATAGAGCTTGGGAATATGTGTCATTTGATATATATATTGTCTTGAGGAGCTACGTCATTTGACGTAATTAACAGTAAACAAAGGATGGAAGGAGGATTTTTAATATTACTGCCTGGCAAAAGGATGTTTATGTAATACTGATGTACGCAAGGCCAATTTTGTTCCCGTCAAAAGGACGTAAGGATTTCACATGCAGCTGAAGCGCACGTTTAAGGAATGGGAAGTTCCCGGTAAAAAGACTTTAGCATTAACTTTGAAATGTCTTTACAAATAAGTAATATTTTGACCTAAAAATGTCCAAAATTATTCTAATTATCGACAAATGTCATCCTTCAAAATTTCAATTACAAGTGATTTTTAATCAAAAAATGGCAGCACAAAACTTTCAACTCGATTGTCTCCAAAAGTGCTTTTAGCGTGCCGTGCCTGGCCTGCTAATGTCCTTTTCCTTTTCACACGAAACATAGGGGCAGATCCTGTGTGTGCCACAGCAACAATTTATTTTACAGGCGAACATTACACCAGTATATTTTTTTTGAGGGGGTTCAGAATTTACATTAAAACCAGAACAATCTGCAAAAATGTTTAAATCTGACAGACTTAAATACATGTACATGTATATGTACCTGTTTTAATTGAAAAGACATATTTGTCCCGTCACCTGCTGTCTTCAGGTTCCACTCTGACTCTGGCCATCATTGATGAACTGTCTTCAATCACTTGGTCATGAGCCCATTGGTCTTGGATGAGAAAAAAAAATCTCTTATTCTCAAGATCAAACATGACAAGAAGGATGTAAACATGGTGGTACAAGTTTAAACAAATCCACAACAGATAAAGATCAAGGCATCAGGAAAAAAAGATAAAGGCAGACTGTAAGCATGGGTAAACCAAACAAAACAAACGTAAACGCAAGTTGTTATAATATTATCAAAGTGGCTATCGTTACGACAGCTGTAACGCCATTTTCAAATACTTCATGTATTATTTGTAATCATTACTACTGTTACGGCCTTGTAAAAAACAATGCAAACGAATATCAGATTTACAGATGCCCAATATTCTTCAAGATCGGACGTTGAATGCTATTATGCAGAGAACCAGTCAGTTCTGTAACGGTAGCACTTAGCAGTCATGCTAGTTGAAAGTCACGTCACAGCTGCCGTAACGATAGCCACAACGTAAATAATTATACTTCTACAGCAGTACTTAGAAATGTCCATACGTTTGGGTCATGTTTGGATGTAGGGCTAGTCAGGATAGTGTCGAGGAAAAGTTAACATGTGCTTGCGTATAGCCCTGCCGCAACTGTTTTGCCACATACTGGACTCTAACATGTCTAAGCTTCCAGAATTAAAAAACAAGAACTTTAGTCTTTACTTACTATTAAACTTTAGGCACAATATAGTGCTACATGCAGTAGGCTACTTGCAGAAAAAATGACGAGAAATACATGTACATGTATGATGTACTATGTCCGCACTGTACCCAGACTCCACAGCATTTCAAATGACGCGAACCCTTTCGAGGCACCCGTCTGTTGTGTATTGTGCATACATGTATAGCCTACTGCGTGCGTGATTCTGTGTGTGTACATGTACAGTACGTGTACATGTGTCAATATTTTGTCTATCGTTTAGCGGAGAAATCGAATGAAATTAATCAGAAAAATGCTGCGAATTAAATCCAGGTTTGTCTAAGACACATCATAACAATAACAACGAAGTTTCATGGCAAAATCTTACCTGATATTTCAGTAAAACGACGGCGATTGCACGTTGCTGGAACACACATGACACATGCAGCAGTACTGTCATGGCGGTTGGCGAAGCAAGGTCAACGGTCGTCAGGCCTGGCGCGCGATTGTAAATTCAAAGAGCGTACTCTGATTGGCCAGCGCGTTACAACCTAGGATGCTGTTGCAAATTACGCGTCATATGATTGGTTGGCGTCACTGTTTTGGCATGCATGCACACAAACTCGCGGCTTTTGATATATGTTTCTGTAAAAAGGCAACAAGTTATTATTTTTCCTGACACGATGTTTGCACTTCGAAATATAACATGTATGTATGTCGATACAACATTCCACAACTGACAAAAATTAACCGTGAGGGTAACGCAATTTCAAGATGCATAAAAAAAAGAATGTTTTTAAATAAATATAAACATTTTTCAAAAAAATATCGAAAGATTCTGGTGGGACAGCAGCAATTCTCAACATAGAATTTTGTTTCAATGTAATTTAAAGTCACGGCGAGTCCACCGTGTGTTCGCACAGTGGCGGTTTACAATGTGAAAATGTCAGTGTTTTCACAGTGTTCTCAGTGGACCAGCACTGTGAAATTATCACGGTGAGTTCACAGTGTTATCACACAGTGACGGTTCACAGTCTGAACCTGTCACAGTGTGTTCACAGTGTGCTCTAAATGTGGACCAACACTGTGACAAAATCACAAAGAGTCCACAGTGTGTTCACACAGTGGCCGTTCACAGTGTGAACCTGTCACAGTGTGTAGACCAATTATGTTCAAATCACACATCATTCACACAGTTTTCATAGTCTGGGAATGGTCACAATGTGAAATGGTCACCATGTGAACACAGTGTGATCTCAGTGTGTTTTCTGTGTGGACCAACTATGTTCAAATCACACACCATTCACACAGTTCTCATAGTCTGGAAATGGTCACAATGTGAAATGGTCACCGTGTGAACACAGTGTGATCTCAGTGTGTTTTCTATGTGGACCAATCACACATCATTCACACAGTTTTCATAGTCTGGGAGATGTCACAATGTGAAATGGTCACCGTGTGAACACAGTGTGATCTCACTGTGTTTTCTGTGTGGTCAAATACTCCACGATTTCGCAGTGTGTTCACAGAGTGGCAATTCACACTGTGGAATGACCACAGTGTGTTCACAGTGTGTTCTCGGTGTGAACAGACACTGTGGACAATCCACGGTGAATTCACAGTGTGTTCACAGAGTGGCAATTCACACTGTGGAATGACCACAGTGTGTTCACAGTGTGTTCTCGGTGTGAACAGACACTGTGGACAATCCACGGTGAATTCACAGTGTGTTCACAGAGTGGCAATTCACACTGTGGAATGACCACAGTGTGTTCACAGTGTGTTCTCGGTGTGAACAGACACTGTGGCCAATCCACGGTGATTTCACAGTGTGTTCACTGTGTGGCAATTCACAGTGTGCAATTTTCACTGTGTGTTCACAGTGTGGTTTCGGTGTGATCATAGTGTGCACACTATGACCACACAGATAACACACTGTGGTGACTAGGGGGAATTTTCATAAGGGATGTCTCATTTATCGGGCCCAATTAATAGTATTATGTACTACAATGTATCTTTTGCTCAAAAAATATTGGTTAAAGTGGTCACTTTTGCCTCAGATCGCACCACAGAGCATCTAGAATCCAATTTTTCTCCGGGGCCCTTAAGCGGGCCCTGAACCCCACGCCTCAAGAGCTTCGCGCTTCATGCTCGCATCAGTTCTGATCAAGGTATGTCCCCCCCCCCCCACTTTTGAAAAGCGATTTACACCCCTGGTTGGTAGTGCAATTTGACAACAGGACTTATACCTAAGTGAGTATGGCGAAACAAAATTAGAAAAATGATACGAAAAATAGGGATATACCGGTAGGAATAGTCCACATGCATAGGTTGGCAGCAAGGGCGGATCCAGGGGGGGGGGGCAAGGTGGCCATGCCCCCCCAAAAAAGAAACCTTTTTTTTTTTTTACGTGACATTCCAATAAAGGCAGGCAATGAGTACATCACCATCTTTTCCTCAAAAAAACATTGATTAAAGTGGTCAGAAATTGCCTCAGATCGCACCACAGAGCATCTAGAATCAAAAAAAAATTCGGGGCCCTTAAGCGGGCCCCGAACCCCACGCCGTAATTTTTTTCCCCACTTTTTTGGGGGACTAACAATTTTTTTGGCCCGCCAAAAAATTGTGTTCTGGATCCGCCCTTGGTTAGCAGATATTACGTAGGTCACACTTCGGACAAACTTCACACTTTTCCCATTTGCTTTGATTTTGCTGTAATCCTGCTCCGGGAACAGTAACTGGACCTTGCCCTCCCACTTTTAAAAGTGTTCCGCCGCCGATGATTCCAATAATTGAATATTCGAATATTCGACCTTGCAATCGATCGAATATTCGAATATTCGGTTATTTGGCCATTCCAAATTCCCTCAAAAGCAAAAATATGCCACACATGTACATTGTACATGTAGTCAACGTACGTGAGCACGTCAGCATGCCATGTATGATTTCTTCACAGGTAGGTCAAGTATTTGACAACAATCAGTTGTTCTTCAGTCGTCAGTAATTTAAAGATTAATAATCACCAGAGAAGCTACAGTGAAGGATTCCTTGTTTGCATGGGGGACGTATTAAGCCGTGAACCCCAAACAAGGCGGGTGGCGTCAGCTATTGTGACTCTCCGACCCTTAACTCGCAAACAGGACCCGGGCATATCTATTACTGGAAGCTTCTTGAAGTCTACAAAACGGTGTACTTCCTAGTCACAGTATTGAAGATAAAAAAATCACTTTTATAGTAATAACTCGCACTTTTGTCACCAAGAATTGAGGAAATGATTTTATATCATTTTAAATAAACTTACTCTCAACAACCAAAAACTCCAAGAAAAAAACCTATGATATGTAATGTCTTTATTCAATGAAATATGGGTCTTTGAATTGTAAATGCATATTTAAGTTAATGCAAATAATGGGCGTGGGCGCGGCATACACACGCCCCAGCTTGACACGTGCAAAGCAGTATTTCCTTGTTTGCCCACAGGGGATGTATTATAAGCCGAGCTCCGGCGGGCGCATTGTTGGCGGGCGCATTGTTGGCGGGCTAATTAGGGCACAGGTGCGCTGACCCGGTTCTTTTGTCTGGCTAAGTGCGTGCTCTGGAGATAACTTTCTAATAGATAGGCCACTAAAAGGTTTGGATATTCCAACTTGCAAAATTTTGATACATTTTGTCTAGCTGTGGTTTTCTATGCTGGGAATCAGGGGTACGGTGCGGTGTGGTGAGTTGACCGCAAAGTCTGTCTGGCGAAATAAATGAGAGCTCTTTTGAGTTTGAAATCCTCTCTGTTGTCTGCCCTTTTTCTTGCGTTTTGCTCGACTTGGAGGACATAAGCCAGAGGTTCTTGCTATTATTACTGAAAGTATAATTGCTGAACTAGTTTTTGAAGTGTTTATGTATGTTTTATTTGTGCAAATATTGGGTGCAATTAGCAGACTAACCCAGCGAACTAAGCTGACGGACAGCGAACGAAAATGTGTTCGATAAAAGGGTGCTCTGATCAGTTGAGAGAACTAGATTATTTTGTACATGTACATGTATCTAATTACGGAGGCATTGAGGCGAACATCTAACAGCCATAATAAATTTACCCCTAAAAGTAAACAAGAAATTCTTTTAGAAAAATCCCAGACTCCGTAACGTAAATGAACCAAGGTTTTTAAAACGTTTTAATGTAATGTTGGGGTTCATGACAAGTTTTCTACAACACCGCCACGTGCTGTGGGCAGCATACTGCGTGCAAGGCGATTCCTTATAACCACGTGCATTCGACACGATTGAACAGGCGATGGAAAACTTTGGGGGGAATTGGCTTCGCTGTATCAGTGTAATGTACCGCTTCTTGTGCGACCCTGTGCGAGCAGTACGTCCTCAAAATAAGTACATGAAAACGGAAAATACAAAGGCCCACACAGAAAAAAGAAATCAAGTTCTTTGCATGAGATTGCAGAGGTCTTCTACATCGATGTTGGCATGCCATTTTCGCGATGTCAATAGCCGACCCAGTAAGCCCCTCCCAGCGCACGTGGGCAAATTAACACGTGCTCCTCTCCAATGCCATGCTGCATTTTCCTATGCTGCACACATGCACATGTAACACCAACGCGCGGGGAAACTTGCCAGGACCGCATCGGGGAAAACAGCGGCGGTTTTCTTTTGAAAATAGGGATTGTAAATAGGACAACAAACAAAAATATGGACAACGGAAATGTTACTACTCATGCTAGAAGTTTGATATGAAAAGGTGTCAGGAAGTGTTTTGTGAAGACATGAAAGACACAATGTCTTGTTTATCTTGTCGGAAGCATCAGCGATTGGTGTTGCAGTCCGGCGTTAAAAAAATGGGTTGGCTTTACTGCAAGCACTCCCAAAGCAGAAGTAATATATGTATGGCATTATTGCTTGGCATATATACAAGCTACTTTTATGGGGGGTTTTGGCATTTTTTCCACCTTTTTATTTCATTGCATATCACCACCGAATATTCTTATTATAAATAAATATTAGAATATTTGATTATCGATCGAATATTTGAATATTCGAATATTCGGCACAGCCCTATTTCAAGGTAGGTCAGAAAATTTGTATATTTGAAGTATATTTGGGAACTTTTGGGATTTTTAGGAACTTTGCGTAAAGTTTTCGAAATTTTTATCCATTCCCTTCAGATTTGGCTGATCGAGATTTCACTGTATATATGAAAGTTGCTCGTGACTCCGACTCCGACTTGACCTTTGTGTCTCATGACTCGGATTCGACCTGCATGACTCTGGACTCGGACTCGGGAGAGGTGACTCGGACTCGGACTCGATGTTTCGTGACTCAAATACAAGTCTGGAAATGCATGGGTGGGGTACTTTGGGCCAATTACCAACACTTTCTTAGGTTTAAGTTACTCACCGATGGTAACTTGGTATCTCAGGCTGGTGTGCTCATCATCAATGAAACCAAGTACATCTTCCCATTCAGCGATAAAATATTCATCTTCCACATGGACAAAGACACACCTAACAAACATGAGTGGGGCACTATGGACACCATCTATGTTTGACTGACTCACCAATGGCAACTTGGTATCTCAGGCTGGTATCCTCATCATCAATGAAGCCATCATCTCCCCATTCAGCAATCAAGTATTCATCCTCCACATGGACAGAGACACGCCCAACAAACATGGGCGGAGTGGTATCCACTACTATTGGACCAACCACCTGCAACAGGCAAAATAACCAAATGTGACAAAGTTTATGTTAATGCATACTTTCAAATGCTTCTTTTAAAACTGTTAAAAACTGTTCCTTGCTGTTTCTTTGGCGAGCCAATATGTTGCTCCTTCCCTCTCAACACTCAATTGGGTTCCGAGTCACACATAGCCATAGTACATTGAACAATTAGGCATTTACAGTGCATGCTGTCCAAGTCTAGAAGCTTTTGGGGTTTTTATTGAGACAAGGATAATTCTTTACACTTCATCTACCTTCCATATGTGTGTACTTGCCATCCACAGCCGAGTAATTCAGCCTATGGCTAATTCTCATCAACAGTCAGTCCATTACATACCTTGAAGGTAGATAGCTGAGCCTTGTTGATGGCCTTCAGAACCAGAAAGAACACAGCTCCCTGGCTGATATGTGGATGGTACATCAAAAAGTGATCATGACCTGATGTTGACATGAAGGTCACCAGGTCAGGGGTCGGGTTTGAGGGGTCACTGCTCAGACCTATCTCATAGTCATAGATGGAGCTCTCTGTATCGATTCCTCCAGTCCATGAGATGGTCAACTGTCATTGACAACATGACATTAATACCATCCACAATTACTACATCTAATAATGGTTTTTGTTTTCAAATCTCTTTCACAGTACTACAGTATACTGCTTTTATGGAGTATATTTACATAAGCCGCATCCTCATGTATGTAAAATGTTACAAGAGAGAGCGTCAACACCACCTTCATTGTGAACTGTCTTCATCCAGATATCTGAGAATTGCTTTCCACCTTGGGACAATGGGTCGAATACATAAAAACTGGCAATGGCTTATGAGAAGAAGTACCGAGCAAAAGCAAAAGCTTATCAGGCAGAAGCAAAAGTAAAAGCAATTGCTTAAAAACATATACATAACCTTTTGCTTTGACTAACAGCTTTTTCTTAAGCTTGCATAGCAAATGCATAAGTTCTGAACAATAGCGCTCTTCGTCCAGATGTGCGCATACGGCGTGAATAATGTAAAAGCTTTTTAGGGACGCATGTTTTGCTTTTTATTCCCACACACCAAGTAGCAAAGAAAAGAAAGTGAGGGCACTTCTTGATGTCAAAGCATCAATTGCTACAAATACTGGAGGAAAACATGGATGAGAAAAAAATATTGAAGAGAAGGTAGCCAACATGAAAACACAGGTCAAAGAAAACAGATGCAAAAAATGATGATAACAGTTGATCTTGTCTGATAAGCAAGAGCAAAACCTACCGTGTGGGAAACTTGAAACACTACAAGCAAATGCTTATTTAATGGCAAAGCAAAAGCTTGTTTTTATGTATCCATTTTAAGCAATTGCTCATCTGGGAAGCATTTGCTTGCAAGAAACAAGTTGTTACTTTTGCTTCACCATAGAAGCATTTACTTGTCAGCAATTGCTTATTTTTATGTATAAAAATGTAAGCAAAAGCCTAGAAAAAGCAATTGCTAGTTTTTATGTATTCGGCCCATTGTCTCTGATTAATTCGGGCCCTGCTGAGCAGATCATATATACGTACATGTTTGTCTATCGGAAGGAAGAACTTCTGCTCAATGGGCGAAATCCAGACACAGTCTAGGTCTCCTTGTAGTATTGCTGAAGAGTCATTGCTACCAGCTATCTCAGGATAAACTGACAAATCATCTACCAGAGCGGCCATGGAACTGTGCGCAAGAAAATCCAAACTCACGTGAATACACAAGGCTTTCAACTGAAGTATACTTATCAAATATATGATTTCATCACCAAACTTTGCATAGGTACAAATCAGAATGTTGGAGAGGGGCGATTGCATTAAAATGTAGTGCTGAAGGACATAAGCATCATTATCTTGAACCCGATTTGGTAGATGACTTAGTAAAGGTCAGTGTCAAGAAGCATGAGTCTTATCAGAATGCTCAACTGCTTCAGTCTCATGTGCATACCTGCAGTCACTGGACGCATTCATCAGCTCCATCTTCCGGCGATGCTCATTGATGAACCACACCCGACCCTCAGCATCCTTGGCCAGACCAGGCCACATCCGAGCATAGCTGATAGCAATCTGGGTCAGCTCTGGAGGGCTGGTATCGATGACAACACCGTCAGAACAGACAGCTGCTGAGGGTTCCAGGGCACGGTTGTAAGCGATGACAGTGATGTAGTACTGGCCAGGCGAGGGGGCTGTCCAACTGGCATGCGTGGCGGTTGTCTTTGTCATCTTAAGAAATGATGGAATTCTAATAATTGGTGTTGCTGAAGTGGAGGACTGACTTGTAAAGTTATGTCAAAGCAGTGTGAAGGATTACAATTTGGAAGTCACAGCAATGTGAATCACAATGGGATATTAAAGATTTGAGTATTGCTTATATCAAGGACAAACCACCAACCCACATGCAACTTACATCATTCATGGCACTGCCGACTGTTGTATAGCCGGTCCTGCAGGAGTCATCAAACAGATACTGATAGAACTTGACCCCACTCTCCTTGTCAAAGAAGCCCTCCCAATGAGCCGAGAGGTCACTGCCCTCCTGATAGTCTATCTCATTGGACCCAGGTATCCCATCATGCACCACACCAGCTTGAGGAGCAGAGGCATCCACCGTTATCTGTGATTCATCAGCAATAAGGATTTGAGTTCAGTTGAATATTTGGACTGCATTACAACATTTATTTGGAATTTCTTTGAATAAACATACCTTGATTGTCTGAGTAGTTGCTAGACTTGCTTGGTTGGTCACCGTCAGGGTGATGTAGTAATCATAGTCATGGGTACCAATGTGCATTGTTGGGTGGAAACCATAGTCTATTGCATAACAATCACCGAGTGGGACACACATACAGCTGACGGGATCACAATCCTCAGTGTCCTGTGTAAAAAAAGCAAACAATAACAGCAAACTTTCCTGTGTCAAGCCATACATTTACAATTGCAAATGGGATGCAAGTCTGACATAAAATACAACACTATAATATTAAACAACTGTAAAGTTTTGCGTTCAGGAATTACCGTGTTGATTTTCATGGCCGCCAAATTCCGGCTGCCATGTATCTCTGTGCCAGTGTGGTTGTCAAAGAGACGCCACTCAATGGTGTGTATACCACTGTGAATGTCATATGTCCTGAATTCAACACTGTGGAAAAATGAAAGAAACATAGCCTTGAGATAAAAAGACACAGAGTTTGTTTATACACGTGCATTCCTATGGAAGCTACGGTAAGTAGGGCCCCTCATATCCACCTCACTCCTATCTCTTCAGAAGGTACACATGTGAAAAAAGGGTCAAATCATTTCGTCTCAGGGGTATTAGAAATTGCATTCCTTAATTTGCATCGGCTCGATCAAGAAATATTTAAACGCTTGTAAATCTAAGCATAGCTGTGTAATTTTTAAAATACATTTTGCAGGTGCAAGATGTATTTTCTATTTGTTAGGTATAGCTTAATCAATCGCAGATCATCTTAGCATCACCTAATGAAAAATAACATAGAATTCCTACCTCATCTTATCCAGATCCTTTGAATTATGAACGGCTAGATTCACCTCCCCGTCCCGTACCAGCCAGAAGTTTTCAATAACAGGCGGGGATGAATCAGCGTGCACCAACACACTGTCTCTCACAAAGTGACCAGCCAAATCCCTGGCCTCCACCCAGAACCGAATGGAATCACCATCAACAAGGGTCAGGTCATAGGTCGCCTGTGTGTTTGTGCCTTCACTACTCCAGTGGTCCGAGTTGTCGTCACTCACGATGACAGTGGTTCTGCCACCGCTGTGGTCGATGTCGTGTACGACGCGGAATTCTGTCACACCGAGGGTGTTAGGGATGGCTGCACGGCCACGTTTCCCAAAGTTCTGGTCATAATCTATAGGAGAAACTCAAACAGGTGTAGTGTTTTAGAAAGCCCCAAAAAGTTGCAAGGCGCGCGTGCTCCATTATACGTTACAAGAGATGAGTAAAATTGACAAGGGCACGATTTATACCTGTAACTTTTGGGAAACCTAAGCATTGCTCTATCAGATGAGCTACTGTTGGCAGTTTCTCAATTTTGCTAACAGTTTCACAATTTTGTTAACATCTGAAGAAGAAATATTTGAAGAAAATCTATTAAATTACCTTGTTGTTTCCCATATAATAGAACTTATGATTACCGCCTCACATCAAAGCAACATTTGCCAACTCACCAGAATCGATGGTACCAGCAACATAGGAGCCAATTGGTTTCAACAATCCTTGGTTGTGATGAGGTGCATTCATAAATCGGTTCGTCCAATCAAGCTGCACGGATGTCATCCCTCCGCTTGAGTCTAGACTGGTCATCCACACGTAGTTGGTTTCTGCAGTCGCGGAGACAACGCGCAGAGAGGAATCATCCTGAAGGGTGACATCGTGTGGATCGTCATCAAAGAACACAAAGCGTCTGCTGAGTCGGACATTGCCTGCATTGTCAACAACACTCAGGACGATGGAGTACACACCTGTACAGATGTAGAGGAAAAGATACAGCTCGTCTTATATTCTTCTTTACAAGGTGTATTGAAAGTGTTGGAAATTGAACAGAACAAATTTATAAATTTGGACTTGTTTTGATTTTTGGATTGAAAAGTTTTTATTTTTTGACCTAAAAGGTATTTATGAATGAATGGTTCGTTACGGGTAATTATCAGCATCCAAACTCCAAGCTATCTTAAACATAGTGTTTTAAACTGGCCAGGCACACAGTATTCTCTTAACACATTTTTTGAAAGAGGCTTAATACAAAATAACCCTTCCAAATGCAATTCGTTGTAAAAAAAAGTACAAGGTACATTTTGAAAGGTACAAGGTACATTCTTGGGGAGTGTGTGGCCTAGTGGTTAGGGTTCGTGACTCATGATCAGAGGGTCAGGGATTCGAATCCAGCTGCTGGCCATATATTGAGTCCTTGGGCAAGGCACTTCACCCCAACTTGCCCCTCTCCACCCAGGAGTATAAATGGGTACCGGCATTAGCTGGGGAGTAACCTGCGATGGACTAGCATCCCATCCAGGGGGAGTAGAAATATTCTCAGTCGTTTCATGCTACTGAAACCGGAGATAAACGCCGGCCTGATGAGCCACATTGGCTCGGGACAGACTTTACTTTACATTTTGAAACATAAAAATTTACAAGATTTGCTCAAATGAACTTGAATTGTATTATTTGTCAAGGATTTTTGAAAATATGGTAACAAGGTATGATATGATAACAAATTTAACGCTCGATTTGCAAAAAGACTTAACGTACCAACATGGGGCAAAGTGATGCTCTGACTAGAGTCGGTCACTCCACTATAAACGGCTGGACTGTCAAAGACTTCCGTCATCTTAATGCCATGACTACCAGATAGCTGGCGTACTTGCAGCTCGTACTCCTTGATGCCAGCGAGACTGTCTGCCCAGCCTTGCCAGGTGACAATTATCTCTGCCTGTGAAGAACATGAAACCAAACATTTATTCATTAATGCCCAAGACAGTTTACCCATTCCCATTGGTCAAGAGCCTGTCACGTGGCCGGTCTTAAAGATAGTTGGGTGGGAAGATGGGGGTATCGTGCACCCTTGGAAATCAACTTCTAATCAACGTCTCTCTAGATCGGAAAAACATTCTTGGTTTTTCCAGCATCTTCAAGCCCAAAACATGAAACAAGTCAGTTTAACAATATCTGCTATAACATTCTAACCCCCAAAATCCACTTACTACTGAAAATTGCAGCAAGAGCAAATGTTGTACATTCCCTTTCAGTGTCTTGCCCAAGGGCATAAACACCATGTTCCTAGCTGGCAGGGTATGAACCCATATACCATTGTACAAAAACACCGTAACCACTGGAACTTAGCATTCTACATTTGAATGGTAACTTACAAAGTAACGTGCTAATAGAGATTATAACACCTCACCCACAGATTCTGTGTCTTGATTGGCCGAGAGCGAGTCACATGATACTTTTTATTTTTGCTATCTTTCTGTGCACGGCCAAAAGTACTATACCCGTAGCAACCAAAGTACTTTACCATTAGCAACCAAAGTACTATTTCCACGGCACGGTATTTGTGTGCAAATACATGCTGGTCTGCGCGTTGCGCGTTTTGTTCCAAAGAGAGCGCGCCAAAGAGTTGGGTTCAAACATTTCGCGAAGGGGAGGTTTGGAAGAGAGAAATACATGTTCCACCTATTTTGTATTGAAGTTTATTTCAACTGTGTTCAGATTTAAATAATTTAAAATATTAAAACCAAGCAGAATCTGTGGGTGAAGTGTTATAAAACAAATATTGAATGCTTTATCGCGTGGTGAAGTAAAACTAGCCTGCCTCGGTGATCCATGGAGCATTCTATTTTCCCTCAGCTTCGCCTCGGGAAAATAGAATGTCCATGGATCACCTCGGGAGGCTAGTTTTACTACACCACTCGAAGCATTCAATATTTGTATACTGGAAAAGAGCACTCTTTGGAAACTAAAGTTATAGAATGACCCATATACATCAATATATATCCAATTGTATTTTCCTATTTTCAAGAGCAATTTTATGTTTACAATAAAAACCATGATCAAAATTCATAAGGCATATGCTCAGTGGATTGTGGGTTTGTGTGATCTAGCGGTGGAGCACAGGATTCATAATCGTGAGGTTGTTGGTTCGAGCCACGCCGTGGCCATGAGTGTTGTGCCCTTGATGAGTATAAGGCGCTTTACCTCAATTACTCCTCTCAACCCAGGTGTTAATTGGTACCGGCATTATTTAATGCTGGGAAGGCAACAAACTCGCTGTGGAGGAGGTGTGGCAATCCCCTCCCCCCCCCACAGCGGCATACGAGTCTGGCCCAATCGCTAACGAAAGAGAGATGGGCACTCCGTTCCTCTTAACACAGGTTCGTCCACTTTACTTTAGTGGATTATGTACTTGAGCGAAGACATTGAAGCTGGATTTGACCCCTGATCTGCTGAACACCATATGTGGCTGGCGCTCGACCAAAATAGGCCTAAGACCTAATGACGTCACGCTTTGTTTACGTCGTGCACTTTCCTATGAGAACGAGGTGGTGACAATTGGCTGGCGTCCCCACCTGGCTCCCATAGAATAGCGCACATGTAAACAAAGCGTGACATCATTAGGTCTCAAGACTATTGAGCTATCAGCCCTAGGTTGGCAGTCTCCCAGTTCAAATCTTTGAGTCTTTGATCAAAGGTGCTAGTTAGATAAGGTGTGGAGCGCTGTGGTTTAATGGTTACGGTGGTCGACTCACGTGCCGTGGTACGTGGGTTCGAACCCTGGCTGGGAACATGGTGCTTGTGTTCTTGGGCAAGACACTTTACTACAATTGCCTCACTCCACCCATGATATTTGTGGTACCTGTAAAGGTAGAGACCAAAATGCGTTGATCTCAAGCTGCTGCACAAAGTGGTCTCATGGCCTGATGAACAGTGGTAATAATTAGTGTGAAGCGCACTTTGAGACCTTTGGTATAAGGCACTATATAAGCACCATATTAGTATTACATTATTATTATGCCATAAACCCATCATGCCATTTATCCATTCAGGATTTAGATTATGTTTGGTCCACACTAACCTGTGATGTAACATCATTCCCTGCATACAGCATAGTGGTTCTACATCCACTGCCAACATCCACACAGTGGTAGGGGTCAACAAAGTCAAAGGTGAAAGTTGAATAGCCGGAGGTTGTCCTGCCATTGTAGTGTCGTGTGATGATGCTGTTTGAATGGTCCCTGTCATAGAGTTTCATGTACCCGCCACTTGTGGAATATACATCATACCTCAGGCTGTAGTATACAAATGAAGAAATATAAACAAACACACATACTTTAGACATGAAAATATAACAATCTGAAGAAAACAGCTGATAGACCTTTATCATGCTGCCACCATTTCAGTCATGTTCCCTGTATCCAATAACAGTACAGAATAATAATGTCTTTGTGGAAAAAGGAACCAGGCTATGTTTCCTTCCAGCCTCGCTTTGGTTACATTGATCTGAATGGGGGAAAAATCAAATGGCTGCAACATGATAATGGTCTATTGAAACTGATTCTATATACCACTGCAATGTTGTCATTTGAACCATGGAGCAAGGAACTGAAGGAGTCAGAACTCCCCTACTTCAAAGTGATTATGATCGTCACTGCGCTCGAAAGCAACAATAGAAAGTACCTGGCGGCCAGCTTATTCAGTTGCTCACTACCCTATTGAGATCCGTGCTCACTAATGCTAGAAGAAAGAGTCTGCATTGCGTTGTGGATAGCACCATGGTATTTTACGCAGGCGCACTTGTCATACATCCAAAATTGAATGATTTTGAAAGTGTTTGTTCAGAGTTGGCTAAAGACTGGCCCACAATGTGGACAACATAACTGAAACAATCATTTCATGACAAACAAAATATGCTCTATATCCCTTCCGTCGGAAACCTTAGGAAATTTCCCAAAATGTCATATTTCATGAATGATGTATTGCCAATAAAAAAATCAAAAAGACATGATAACTTATCGGGAAAAAAATCGATTTATCTTCAAATAACAGGAACAGATAGCGCATTCAAGGGCCAACAACTGCACATCGAGAACTTGATTTCATTACTCACATCTAACAACTGCGCAGTTGTGAAAATCTAAAAACGTGATTATAGGGAGGTTGTTGGTTACTAAATGAAAAGGCGGTGACGATCATCGTGTTCAAAGGCCGCTTGCAGTCTCGCAATGAATGGTCCAGGATTGCGGTCACAGTGCTGTAGCTACGGACATTCCCGAGGGATTGGAATGTTAATGGTCAAAAATGTAAATCGCCGAAGAGTTCTAACTCCTATTCCTTGCTCAATGTTTGAACAGAGTAATTCTTGCATATTCTGAAACAATCTAAACTGTCCTAATCATGTATAATATCTTTCTGAACAAAATTATTTCTACAGGCTGGAGAATTTGATAATAATGCAACTGATAAACCTGTATGAATTAAAGCATTACAAAAATGTGTTTCGAATTTTGCAGCTAACGAAATTTGCTGAGTCCTTACACTCAAATTATCCAAAAAAAATGGATTTTTCAAGATACATTGTATTCTCTTACCCCAACGATCTGTCCTAAACCTCTTTACTTCAAAGGTTATTTTCATGCAACTTTTTATCTAAAACATGTGAATGTTGCTCTAAACATCACAGCACAGGCAAAAAGTTGTTATCATTAAGTAAAATGTTTGGCATTCTGATCACACTACGTGTTTCTAATGGGCTTACACATCTCCTGTAGCTGGTGTCCAGGAGTTGTAGTTCAAGTTGAATGTCACTTGACAGGATACCAGGTATGTTGCCGGATTGTTTTGATTGAAAGAATTACGAGTTGTCGATGTTGTACAAGCCTGCGAGCCCACTGAATATATCATACGGTAACCCCCTAATGCATGAAAAAAACACAAAGGGCAAAAAACTAATATTGATTTACATCACCCTGAAGCAAATTCATCTATGAATAGGTTAACTGTGGCACCCCTGCTAAATGCATCAGATTCAAACCAGCCAACCGATCCCATCAGCTCGGTGGTCGAGTGGTAAGACATCTGCACTACAAAGCAGGAGGTCGTGGGTTCGAGTCCCATCCGAGTGATTTTTTCCAACTTTCACTCGGGAGGTAACACATTTGAATATACAGTGTTTATACATAGGTGAATGGCAAAAACCTAATATTGATTTTTATACAACACCTGAATAAATCCCCGTCATCTGATTGGTGGATCATTGATGACATGTTTTTGAATTATTCGTCCCAACGCACAGCGCGCGCGGCGCGCAGCGCAGCGCACAGTGCAATGGAAGTTTCATTGCATGTTGAATAGAACTTCCATTGCACGGTGTCACCGCTGCTGGCAGTGGCGCTGTTTTAAATCGAGATTACTTGAATATGATGGTTCTCAACCTGTTGAACAGTTTGCATAAATTAAATATGATGAACTTCCTTGTCAAACTTTCAAACAGTTTTTAACCTGAATAAATTGGCTATTAAAAGTCAACCAATCAGATGACAAGGATTTATTCAGGTGTTATATAAAAAAAATAATGAATATTTCACGTTCGTGCAATAGAAAGGATAATTTCATTCGGTGACAGATGAAATGTTCCATTCCACTCGGCTTCGCCTCGTGGAATGGAACATTTCATCTGTCACCTCATGAAATTATTCTTACCATTGCACTCACAAACATTCATTATTTGTATAAAATCACAATATTATTTTCTGGTATTGATTAAAGATAAAATATTAACCTTATCAAAATGTGAAGGTTGTACAAAATATGATTTCCGTGTGGCCTAAACAATAGCTTGTAAATTTATTCATATACATGTAGGAATGTTTGGTTCAAAAACATAACTAAAGAAAGACTGAAGGGAATACGAAGAGTACATGCCTGCCCTGCCCCCCCCCCCCCCCCCCCCCCCCCCCCGATTAAGAGAAGAAAACCTTTATTGTCTATTTGAAGCTGACCATGATCAGTACCCATTCATTCCACCCCCTCCAACAAATACCCTACTGCAAAACTGGACCCTAGATATGCCACTTTGTTGACTCTGCAAATATGGGGAGTAATGAGTCAAAAGAAGGCACATGTACTTAATGGGTGTCTCTGGGTGTGTCGCTTTCGATCTGAATCGGATTTTTAAGCTCTGGCAACAGAGCTTCTACCAGTCACTCGGGTTTCGGTTGGTCGGTCCCCCCAAAAAGTGACCAAAAACGAACCCCCAAACTCACCCACAAACCTGTAAGTACCAAACTGTAACTGTCCAAAACAGCAAACAAAAGACATTAAATACTTGCCGAAACTTTTGGGTAACAATTTGTTACATTATATTGTTTATGAACTTTTCTGATTAGAGGCAAGATACTTGTGGTAATGTTATAGTCACATGGTATTTTTGTGCGCTTCGAACTTCGAAAATTTTAAAGGGGGCTTCTACCTGTGACTATACATCACCCCTGCCTCTGGCCCTGTGTCAGTTTAATGAGTCTCCAGGGGATATAGACCTTTGCATTATGAAGGTTACTATTATTTTGCATTGTGACTTTCAACAAAATGGGAATTAAATCCTCATTTCAAAAAGCGCAATCAGGACCAAGTGAGTAATTGTATCAATTCATGCAAGACTTTCATGCAAGAGGGCCAGAGCTTATTGTGCTGTCGCACTTGTTTGATGGAGAATTGTAACTTGACTTACGATTCACAGCGGCTGTCACTCTAGCACCTACAACACCAAACCGAATGCTTTGGATGTATGGATGTCCACCGCCACTATAGGCTGGTAGTCCTGTAGGCTTGTACGAACTTATCCAGTTGGCTCTGATGCTTGTGAAGTCTCGTACGTTGGTGTAGACAGTGTCTGTACTGCCCTGGACAGAGGGAGATTCCCTAGTTGTTGTCCCCTTGACCAAAGTGGCACGGTGCTCTGATAAGACTGGTGCTTGACTGCTGCCCACTGCAAGACAAGAGTTAGGCTGTGGCTATGGCTATATGTAGCAATAATGCAGGGGTCTAGGGGAAGTGGATTCAGCTGCTTGACATAGGCACCTGTATGATTGATAAGACTGGTGCTTGACTACTGCCCATTGCAGGGAAAGATTAAGGCTGTGGCTATGGCTACATGTAGCAAGAATGCAGGGGTCTTGGGAAGTGATTTCAGCTGCTTGCCATAGGCACCTGTATGATTGATAATAGACTGGTGCTTGACTGCTGCCCACTGCAAGACAAGAGTTAGGCTGTGGCTATGGCTATATGTAGCAATAATTCAAGGGTCTAGGGGAAGTGGATTCAGCTGCTTGCCATAGGCACCTGTATGATTGATAGGTCCGGTGCTTGACTACTGCCCAATGCAAGACAAGAGTTTAATAGGCTGTGGCTATGGCTACATGTAGCAATAATGCAGGGGTCTAGGGGAAGTGGATTCAGCTGCTCGCCATAGGCACCTGAATGATTGATAGGTCTGGTGCTTGACCAGTGCAAGTATTCAACGCAGATGATAATGCAATGGGATCCGTTCACATTGCCCCTCAACCACAAGAATGGGAGAGTGCCAAAACTGGTAGAGAACTCAATGCCGATGATAAACTGATGCTCACACGAAGCCCTGCCTTTGTGTACATTTGGAATACAATCAATCATGCGTGCTTTGCAATATACACACAAACCAGCGTGTTCTATGTGGTGTGTCCACAGACACAAACACATAGCCTGATTGCCAGGTCCTATTCGAAACTACACGCACATACCGTGATCTGTGCAGTGCCAAACTAAAATCCAAACTATGGGCAAATTAATTCACCTCTTGGTATAGGGATCTTACACACAGTTGAACTATTTCAGTAAAAAAAATCCATGAAGTTATTTTTCAATTGTAAAAAAAATCCCTTGTGTACTAAGTATGATTGAGATAGATTAAAATACAATAAGCTGCACAACTTTTTAATGCACACTGTGAGTAAAACAACCTTTTTTTAACTCAACAATTTATTATGTTCCGTATGTAAATGTACATGTATGTATTGTACTAAATGTGTATTAGCATTGAACGTGCGTTGCATCAACAAACGTTTTGCCCATACTTTGTCAAATCACAGTTTTACGCGCACGACTGGCGGTCTTTGCGTTTATATGTCTGTGGGTGTGTCCCATCAAAAGTGGCAACAAAGAATCTTCATGATCTTCTATTTTTGTCCATAAAATAACAGCAAAGTGTTCTTCACTTTCTGCTGCACAGTACATTCTTGGGTCTCTTGTATGACAGTTACATATTTCCTTGGCTCAGATATAAAGAAATGACTTCAAGACTGTCTTTGAAAGGAAATTGAAGGAGATTGAACTTGGGGAGTCAGGTTGTTTCAAGAGTGTTACTTTCCTCACCTTCCACCGCTGTGACCCGGGTTCGAATCCCGCCCGGGCCAATATGTAGATTGGGTTTTCAGTCCTACATGATTCCGTGGGTTTTCCCCAGAATATTCTTCTGGGCTTTTCGTCCTACCTCTAAAACTGTAATTTCTTCTCATTCACTTCTCTCTACAGGTTTCTTCAGGCCTTCGAGCCTACAGTGCCTAGGGCGCTATTTGGGGAATCCTTGGTTTCAGTACCAGAAGTAGTAAATACAAAATAAATCAAACAAATAAATAAAAGTGAGACAGGATTTTATTGCTAGACACGATCTCACCTCCATACCAGTTATTATTAACCTCTACTGATTTCTCACTCACATGTTCTGCAGTCAGTTCCTGAGAAGCCACTGCTGCATCTGCACTGGCCGTTTGTGCAGGATCCTGGGAAGCAGGCATTGCTGTTACTCCTCCATGAACATTGCTCTGACAAATAGTCATTCAGACAAGAGAAATAATTGATATACAGGCTCTAAAAATTATGCACACACCATGTTCTTAATATTGTAACGAAAATAACAGTCATGATTAATTTCCAGTAATCACGCTTTATTCGTCACTCTGATAAAATGCAGGTTCTTTTCTCATACCTTAATTGATAGGACTTGTGTAAGATAAGAAATAAGTTCCCAGTCAACAACTAGTATTTCATTGAGAAGAATTGCCAATACAGTTGGCCACGTATTGATAATAGGGCCTATGATAAACTAATGGTAGAGTAACTGTTAAATGAAATGACTTACCAGTACACAAGTTTAAAAAGCTCTCTAGGTCAAGACGTTAGGGTTATCGTTATTAATGGGTTATGACCAATCAAGCATTGCACTATGTACGCGCCCAAACGCTACAAAAGACGAGCCCAGTCAGGGCTCGGTGTTCACATCGTGACTGGTTCTGGCCCGGTGAGGAACTTCCCCTAGAATAAGGAGCGCGTCTTACTCAACGTTCGATTGCAATGCACACTGGTGCTCTACCTCATCGTTATACAATTGTACGCATCAGGCACAGGGTGTGCTGACAACCATTATTGTTCTTTGAAGAACGGCTCGATCTCTCCATGAAGTCAGAATTCTTGTCTAGTCTCTAGTCATTTACTAGTACTTGAACCAGTAATTTCACGCCCATTACAATATTCAAAAGCTCATTAATTGTTCGTGCAAATCTCATTCAGTGGACCAGCTTTATTCCCGATCAAGCTTTAGTCCCAGTTTCCAACTGGCTAGTACATGTAATGCTTGTCTGGTCTGTTTCAAATATTCTATATTCAACTGAATCCAAGTTCAACTGTATAAAAATGCACAGCCCTTAGAGAAGCAAATAATGTTCCCCATACCCCAATCCTCTCTCTACTGCAGCCACCTATGGTTGACATACATACTTCTGCATTGTCTCATGTCATCACTCTTCTTATAGGCTGATCCACGCGCTGAGCCATAGTCACCATCACATCGGTAACATTTCTGGTTTGAAGATGTGCTGCAGAACACTTCAAGGCAATTTGCGATAGCTGTACATCCTATGAACACCAAAAAAAGAATTGTGTTCCTGAATCATCCAGACATGCACCCAAGTCTGATGCAATGGGTGAGATTTTATTCAAGATGGAGTGATTAAACAGGGTAAGGCCAGCGGCGTAGCCAGAGAGGGAGGGGCATATGGAATGCCCCCCCCCTCCACCAAAACATGTTGCCCCCTCCCAGTCTGCCCACCCACTGGCAACTTGTTAGCCTACATTAGTGACCATGGTTACGGGTTTATTCCGGATGCAGTGACTCAACAGGAAAAGGTCATCAGCATAGCCAAGGGGAAGGGGGCCCGTAGGGGTCATGCAACCCCACCCCCTCGCAGTCCGTGAATTTTCTTTTCCCAAACTACATATCCACAAACATGGTTGTTTAGCGCCCTCTACAATACTTTTATGATACGTACGCAGGTATATAATTTTTTTCCAGGGTTTGGAGAGCAGTGCGATAGGTCATGATGTTGCACCGCGAGATTGTGGGTTTGAGTCGCAGTTTTGAGCCTGAATTTTTCCTTTTCTAATCTGAGGCTTTGGAGGATTTTTTTTTTAAAGGGAAATAAAGTTTGAATCTCGTTAAATTCAAATTTATTTCTTTTTTCTAATTTTATATATTTTCTTCTCATGTTTTTTGAGAAGTAAAGTCCAAAATGCCATAGCGTACACCCCCATATGCGGATGTTGTTTGGGGAAGAAAAATTCACCCCCAGTCCGCCCACCCACTGGAAATTTGTTAGCCTATAAGTTTCAATGGTGGTGGGTGTATTCAAGATGGGTTTATTAAAGATGCACTGATTAAACAGGGGGAAGCAAAGCCAAGGGGGAGTGGCCGTAGGGGACGCCCCCTCCCCCCACCCCATTAACATCAAGGCCCCAATTCACCCCCATTCGCTGTGATCGCGCGCGAAAGGTTTTTGTACTTGATTTCAATTTACTGTCCAGTTAAGAGTGCCTTACCTGAATGGCTACGCCGCTGGGCAAGGCAATCTTTAAAAGTAAAATTTAAAAGCCTATTAAAAGCCTATTTGGCCCATCAGGCAGGCGTTTATCTTCGGTTTCAGTGGCATGAATGTCCGAGAATATTTGTACTCCCCCTGGATGGGATGCTAGTCCATCGCAGGTTACTCCCCAGCTAATGCCGGTACCCATTTATACTCCTGGATGGAGAGAAGCAAATGGGATGAAGTGGCTTACCCAATGACGCAACTAAGGCCGGTAGCTGGACCCGAACCCCTTACCCTCTGATCATGAGTCACGAACCCTAACCGCTAGGCCGCACTTCCCCTCTTTAGGCACTCTTTAAACTTGACAGTAACTTGAAATCGACTTGATTTCAATTTACAATCAAGTACACATTTTTCAGATATTAAAAAAACACACTTTGTTTTCAAATCTTGAATCCATTTATGGCTTATTTGGCTAGAGGAGATTTGTATGCCCTTGAGTTGAGAGACTAAAGCTCAAAACTGGTACTTGTTCTGCCTCAAGGATATCGAATCTTACAGTTACGAGGCTAATTTTCATTGGGTTTGAACAGGGGGGTTCTAATTTAAATGATACTGAAGCTAGATATAAAACCAAACCCTGAGTAGGAGTAAGCTCAGGTTTGTGAAATATTAAGTTATGGTTTTAGTGATCAACACACCACATATTGCGGAGTGCTGTGGCCTCATGGTTATTAAAGGGCATTGGATTTGTGGTCTGCGGGTAAAGCTGCAGGCTGTGGGTTCGAGTCCAGCCTGGGGTCATGGGGCGTGTTCCCTTGAGCAAGGCACTTTGCCACTCATTGCTTCTCTCCACCCAGGAGTAAATGGGTGCCTGTGAGGGCAGAGATGGTTATTGTGATTGAATTAGCTTCCTTGCGCCTAACAGGCTGCATTGAGCTGTATACTCCCCAGGGAGCTGAGATGGTATTTGGAATGTTTCATGGGCCCAATGAGCAGGGGTAATAATGACGTAGCACCTTGAGCACAAGTCCTGGTGGATACGTGCACCTTATATATATATATATATATACCCACTCATTTTATTATTATTAAGGGAATAAATGTGTGCTCCTGAGGTTTTTATCACTCTGTTTAAGACCGCTTAGAGTCTGGGTGCTGATAATTACCCGAGCCGGGTGCTGATAATTACCCGAGCCGGAGGCGAGGGTAATTATCAGCACCCAGACTCTAAGCGGTCTTAAACAGAGTGATAAATACCGACCGAGCACATATTTATTCCCATTCATAAATACCTTTTCGGTAAAAAAATGTCAAATAATTCGTTCAAAAAATCCCAATTTTGTTCAACAAGTTTACTTCATGCTTTTTGAAACGTCCCTCTAGCAAAATAATGGAGTGTTCAGATGGCGAGTAAGATGTAAACAACCCTTTTATGGAGATTGACGCGCGCGTAGCATGTTCTGCCCGATGTTGTACAGAACGCACCTGGGGCGTTGCGTTTTGAATTTAGAACTATAAAATTCTGACTCGCTGGTAGTGTTGCGCATGCCTACGTGAGGATTGTGAACGTTCAACCAATGAAACGGTAAGAGGCACTGGATTTTTAGGAGTCCACATTTTATTGTGACACTGGAAAAGTGTTTAAGACCAGCTGGCCATGTCTTTATCATCCGTTTAAGACCGGCCACGTGACGGGCTCTCGACCAATAGGAATAGCTACACTGTCTGAGGTATTTATGAATACATATTTAAACTGACTTAACCAAAGTGAGATAGTTGGCTGGCTACTTCAATTCCCTGAATGATCATGTTGAATCCTCCCAGCATGGCTGTCAGAGATTTCCTGTTCATTAGGCCTATCCGTTGAGAAAAAGAGTCTGATGTCAGTAGTCTATGATCAAAATATTCAAGTTATATCAAGAAGTCTTTCTGTCATAACAACTTACGATTACATCGTGGAGAGTAGAAGCCTCGATTACAGTCGCTGCAGTAGTCAGGACTTGTGCAATCCCCTCCATTGGGACACGAATCAGTATGACCAAAACAAATGGCTTGGTAAGAAATGAGAAAATAAATCAATGAATGTATGATACTTACAGGCATAATTGATTTGATGAACATTTGTGTGTGAGCTTGGTTGGTTACTTGGAAGGACTTCCACAAGGGAGCATAACTAGGAGGCCAGATACACAAACCCCCTTCTCTTAGCGATAAGTGTTACTGGATTCTTTTACGTGTGTTAGGCTTACAACACACGGGACCTCCGGCTTAACATCCCATCTGAAGGACGAAGCAATAATGGTTAAGTGCCTTGCTTAAGGGCACAAGTGTCCGGGCCCGGGCTCGAACCCGCCTCACTGTTGCCTAGCTGAAACACCAGAACATGAGTCCAGTGCTCTTAACCACTAGGCCATATGACACTCCAGAGCTGTTTAAAGCTAAAGCATATAATATAACACTAGTCCGATAATTTTGGACTCTCAATACTGTGTAATGAGAGTCCCAAAACTTAAGGTATTGAAAACATGCAATACCAGAAAACAGACTGGCACCTGAAACAACCAGACCAACACCGCTTCAGTACTGCATCAATCAACCATGCCAACAGAATTTAAGAAACATTTGGCATGAACCGAGAACAAGTCTCAATTTACTACACATTTCTCCTCAGTCAGCCACCAGACTAATGTCACTGAATGAAGAAGTTGGTCTTTTCAAACAATTGGACCATGGTTGGACCTGTACCAGTCTAGTCTTTAGCCTCATTTTGAAATCACTTGACTTCCCTCTCATGTGCAAAATATTGAAGAAAAATCTCCTTAATTCAAACATTGAATTTAGTCTGCAAACTTGGTTGGTGAAATACTGAGGACCTTTCCTTTGCCCAGTGGAATTTTTTGGAGAAATTTGCTGGCTAATGTGAGTACAGTTGGCCTAATTTAGTTTTGCACATTTCAGAGCACTCCAGAGCCCTGTCTGTAATAACACCTGAGGCAATTAAATTAGAAAAAAACCCAAAATCTTCTAAAAAACTTGGTCAAAACAGTCAACTTACGGGTTGTGCAGCCACTTGATGTACTTCCAGTCCATCCTGTGCAACACCGATAGCAGGTTATATCCCTGTATGATAGGAATAATCCTGAATATGATTTTGACCATTACATGTACTGGGGAAGTGCGGTCCCTAAAATCTTCAAATCAGCCATCGATAAAGTCCGGGAACTGGCTTCAAGCGACACTACACATACCTCACGAACCTCTGCCAGGAGAATAAAGGAACTGACAAAAGCCAACCATGATCTCCACTGGGAAACACACCTACAAGAGCTACAAGTTCATTCAAAGCTATCGGACATTATCCAGTTGGAGAGTGAATCCAAAGCCTGGCAGCGAGTGCGTTATTCTCTCCCCAGTGGCCAGCTAGCATTTCTACTCAGAGCAGGATGCGATACCCTACCCACCCCCATGAACTTGACAAGATGGCGCATCCAAGTTGACCCAAAATGTCACCTGTGTCATAAACCTAGATGCACGCTTGCTCACATACTGAGCGCATGTGAAAAAGCCCTGAATTTGGGTCACTTCACATGGAGACACGACTGCGTCCTCAAATGTCTTTCAAAATACCTGTACGATCATGTGGACCAGGAATCGAACTTGACAGTCGACCTCCCAGGTATGTGTGTGGAATCCAGTACTATTCCAGTCGCAATATGCACAACCAACCTTCGTCCGGACATCTTTCTACATAGCGGGCACACAAGCGCCGTTGTAGGAGAACTGACGATCCCAAACAACTCCACAGTAAACCTGGGGAATGCTAAATACCAAGGACTGGTGGCGGACTTAATAAAGGGATCTCGAATGTGACTGTCATATTGGGTTCTTTTTTCCTTAAATTTAAAGGTGGGCTCATTGGTTTTTTTTGTCAGCAAATTATACTCTCTGATAGAGGCTCCCTAGGTTGGCTCGTAGTTGAGCATCTTCGGGCCCTTGAATACATGGGCAATTTCTCCTTTTCATAAGCTGATTTTGTGGGTTTAAAAAAAAAATTTATTGCTCATCGGGCTACATATCAATGCTTTCAGGAAACCCTTTTCCTCCGATGTTAGGGTTTTCTTTTTTAAGTTTTAAGTTTTTAATTCCAGTCCATGTTAAAAATTTTTGTGGATATGATCTGTGACAGTTTTATCGGTAATTTTTTTTTTTTTTTAATTTTACTTATACATGTAGTTTCTATTGTTGTTTTTTGGAATATAGGGAGTTTGAGTGTGATTAGCCATTTCCACTCCCCTTAAAGTTTAGGCGCTCCATTATAATATTATAGCCTAGTAGCCATCCTTTGCAAATGTAAGTTCTGTGCATAATTCAATTTCTTTATATAAGTTCCCTAGCTTGACTGGAATTTGAGCATCAAATAAGGCCTTTGAATGTGCAATTGTTTTCCCTTTTTTTTCTATCTCCAGACAGTAGGGTTTATGTGTTTATTGCAAGCATTCTGTACATGTTGAATCTCTCCCCCCTTTTTTTTTTTTTTTTAATTTTCTATATACATGTCCCTCCAAATTGCTTTTTTATAGCTTTGTCCCCCTCCAGATGGTGGAATTTTCCCCTTTTTACCTTGCCAGGCCCTTTCAAGGTTCTCCCCCTGTTCCTACGCCTGAGTCCTAGGTCCCCCCCCCTTCCTTTTTTTTACTGCTACATTGGTGTATGTACATTTGTGAATTTGTCCATGCCTGACGTTTTCTGTGTGATAATGAACAAAATGTAGATGTTTTTATTTATAAATAAATGTAATTTCTTAATATTCTTATTGTATCACTGATGTGGATAACAATAAAGGTATTTCAATATATTCAAAGCTACTGCGTTTGACCAGGCACTTTCAGTGCACTGCCCTTTATTAGATCAGATCAGTTGTACAAGGAAGGCCCACTGGTTGCCCTAGCAACAACCACCCACTGAGGGTCTTAGGCCCTACATTGTGGTCAGTGTGGTCAGCATGAGCTACTACACATGTAGTAGTTCATTCCATTCTTAACTATCGTCCTAATAATTAAATTAATAACAGAAGATATTCTCTGAAGCAAAGCTCAGCAATCCTTTCCCATCCTTGCTCAACATGGACCCATCTACCCTTTTCTTGCTGTAAAAATAAACTTGTACAAGAAACGAATATCCGGGTCATACACATACAATTAAAGATATCTGATGGGTATAGGGTAGCCCCATGCACTAACTGGGTCGCTAGAACTCCTTTTTTGACATTTGGGATGTTGGTCTATCGTACAGACAGACCAACATCCCAAATGTCAAAAAAGGAGTTCTAGCGACCCAGTTACTGGGACTAGGTATAGGTATGATCTGTACAAATTAAGTTGTGTTCTCCATTTCCCTTATAGATAGTGCCATTTTCAAGTTTCAACCTGACACATGCATCCTTTTTTAAATTATTTTTTTCTAGCAATAGTTGTTCACTTTTTGAATGAAACATCCAGCAACAAAATCACTTCACGTCCATGTCAAGCTATGGAATGTCATCTTTAAGCCCGGTTCCAGTACGGCGCAAAAGCAAAAGCGAATGTGAATTTGTGACATCATGGCATATCCCCATACTCCTAGAACTATGGGGTCCGCTCATAAGTCCAATAAGGTCCGCCGCCTCATAGGTCCGACAAAATCGCATCCCCCAACCAAATAAAGGCCCATTTAATAGTCCGACATCTCACAGGTCCGGTGCCTCATAAGTGTGATGCCTCATACATGTCGGTCTGACACCTCATACGCTTCGTTTTTCCGACGTCGGACTTATGACGTGTCGGACTTACATGTATGAGGTGTCGGACCTATGAGGCTGAATAAATAAATGTACATTGTTATGCCTCATTATAGTCCGAGTAACTTGGACCCAACTTATCGCCTTTTTTAACATTTGGACATGGTCTGGCGATACTGCCAGACCATGTCCAAATGTTAAAAAAGGCGATAAGTTGGGTCCAAGTTACTCGGACTAGCCTCATTACTAGTCCGACGCCTTATGCGTCGGACCTATGAGGCGTCAGACTTATGATACGGCCCCGAACAATGATGCTCCGCTCTGCGGAGCAGTCGTGGCAAGTATTCGCGCTGCAAATTCATGAAATTAGTAAAAGTTGCTTCGCAGGCCAACACTAAACAGCAGCCCAAAACAGGGTGGATCTGTTTTGTGAAAAAAAGCTACTCCTAGAACTATGTAGCCCCATAAATGTGGCCTATTTACTGGACTGCCTCCGTAAACATAGGCCACACACCCACATGAACAAAAAACGTGTCGACTTTGCCAAATTTTGATTTTCACATTTAGGCTTACTTTGTAGAATTTGTTTGCTTTAGAAGCATTCTCACCCTCTATATAGGCTAATCAGAAAGTGCTGCCTTTTTCAGATGTCCATTTTTCGTGAAATTTCCAGATACATTTGCACACGTTTGCGTATCAAAATTTCAACATGAAATTTCACAGAAATTAAACATCTGAAAAAGACAGCACTTTCTGATTAGCCTATATAGAGGGTGAGAATGCTTCTAAAGCAAAAAAAATCTACAAAGTAAGCCTAAATGTGAAAATCAAAATTTGGCAAAGTCGACACGTTTTTTGTACATGTGGATGTGTGGCCTATGTTTACGGAGGCAGTCCAGTAAATAGGCCACATTTATGGGGCTAAGAACTATGAGGCTCCACAGTGGAGCCTCATAGTTCTAGGAGTAAAAAAAAAGGCAACAAAGGTTACAGAGATGTCCAAGGTAAATTCAAGTACGCTTTTTATTAAAATAAAATAGAACCATACAAATTTCAATTTATACATTTATTACAGAAACAAGTAAAAAAACATTTGATTCGTTGACGAAAACTGGCAGTAGGCCTAGGCTATTTTGTTTTGGGTTGTTTGTTTTCATTAAATGCGGAAACAGGTCAACTCGTACGCGAGTCAACTCGTACGCGAGTCAACTCGTACGCGAGTCAACTCGTACGCGAGTCAACTCGTACGCGAGTCAACTCGTACGCGAGTCAACTCGTACGCGAGTCAACTCGTACGCGAGTCAACTCGTACGCGAGTCAACTCGTACGCGAGTCAACTCGTACGCGAGTCAACTCGTACGCGAGTCAACTCGTACGCGAGTCAACTCGTACGCGAGTCAACTCGTACGCGAGTCAACTCGTACGCGAGTCAACTCGTACGCGAGTCAACTCGTACGCGAGTCAACTCGTACGCGAGTCAACTCGTACGCGAGTCAACTCGCACGCGAGTCAACTCGTACGCGGATTGGTCAACTCGTACGCGAGACAACTCGTACGCGAACCAACTCGTACGCGTGCCAACTCGTACGCGAGCCAACTCGAGCCCTATGCTCTGACCAGTCTTCATCTACGATTTTCTGTCTTCCGTCTCTTACTTCTGTAATTATACAAGACCTGGTTTTAATTGAGCTCTTGAGAATAAAATAATTTCTCCATAATTATAGCTGAGCTCCGTGTGTCTTGTATTCTTCATAGTCATCGTTCATTCCGTTCTTAGCCACAGCTACCGTATCCTAACATATAGTTTATAGTCAAACCTTCCAAAGACTATAGCCAAATCTATATGTTACACTATCGTTAAACCACACTTTTTTTATATTTTACGCGCATAACTTTGTTCACAACTAAACCTTATGGCGTGATAGCTATTTTACATAAATGAATGTAATTATGTCATGAGTTTTAACATTAAGAAGCCTTATTGCAAACAATACATAATTTCAAGCTTCAATTTATAACTTATCAACGAGCAACACGATTTAACCATTGCATGAATGATACGAAGATCGACAAAGCAAAAATAATGTTCTGGTTTGAACAACGCTTGGATTTAAGCAGCTCTTAATCATAGTGCTTGTAGGCCTATGCATCGAAGAGTACAAACACCAAAGATTGTCTCATGCGGAACAATACAAATTAATACATTCAAAATATTAATTTGATATTATAGTGGTCAGCAAACTAGGGAGTAAAATTCTAAAATCTGAACTTGTGATGACATCTGAACTTTTCAGATGTGGTATATAAAAGAAAAAGCAAGCTGATCTAAGAAGCATATTCAGCTCGAGGGCGGATGGAACACAAGGTTTTTTTGGGGGGGGGGCAAAAAAATTCCCCCCCCCCCCCGAAAAAAAAGTGGGTAAAAAATTACGGCGAGGGGTTCGGAGCCCGCATAAGGGCCCTGATTTTTTTTTTTTTTTTTTTTTTTTTATTCTAGATGTTCTGTGGTGCGATCTGAGGC